TGCTAATACTTTTCATAGAATTATGTTTTCACTCAGACACACTATCAAGTGTTACAAAAGGTAAAACTATCATATAATGCAATTTTACAACATAACAGGCGTGCGACGTTAATAACATCGTAAGGGGAATAGAGACAAGTGCAACTACAGAATGGTTATCACTGCTATCGACGAATCTTCTTCATATCATGTTCGTCAGGTTTTGATCAAATAACTTACTAGAATATTCAAAATATTCCTTTCATCGTTCGATCAGAGTTAACATATTCAGTCTTGTAGCTCTAACACCTGTGTTACAGAGAAGAGATATTCAGTCTTGTAGCTCCAACGCATGTGTTATAGAGAAGAGATATTTTGTCTTGTAGCTCAAACGCCTGTGTTATAGAGAAGATATATTCAGTCTTGTAGCTCCAACACCTGCGTTACAGAGAAGAGATATTCAGTCTTGTAGCTCCAATGACTGTGTTATAGAGAAGATATATTCAGTCTTGTAGCTCCAACACCTGTGTTACAGAGAAGAGATATTCTGTCTTGTAGCTCCAACGCCTGTGTTACAGAGAAGAGATATTCAGTCTTGTAACTCCAACGACTGTGTTATAGAGAAGAGATATTCAGTCTTGTAACTGCAATGCCTGTGTTATAGAGAAGAGATATTCAGTCTTGTAACTCCAACACCTGTGTTACAGAGAAGAGATATTCTGTCTTGTAGCTCCAACGCATGTGTTATAGAGAAGATATATTCAGTCTTGTAGCTCCAACGCATGTGTTATAGAGAAGATATATTCAGTCTTGTAGCTCCAACACCTGCGTTACAGAGAAGAGATATTCAGTCTTGTAGCTCCAATGACTGTGTTATAGAGAAGATATATTCAGTCTTGTAGCTCCAACACCTGCGTTACAGAGAAGAGATATTCAGTCTTGTAGCTCCAATGACTGTGTTATAGAGAAGATATATTCAGTCTTGTAGCTCCAACACCTGCGTTACAGAGAAGAGATATTCAGTCTTGTAGCTCCAACGACTGTGTTATAGAGAGGAGATATTCAGTCTTGTAGCTCCAACGCCTGTGTTATAGAGAAGAGATATTCTGTCTTGCATCTCTAACGCCTGTGTTATAGAGTTGGCATATTCTGTCTTGTAGCTCCAACGTCTGTGTTATAGAGAAGATATATTCAGTCTTGTAGCTCCAACGCATGTGTTATAGAGAAGAGATATTCTGTCTTGCATCTCTAACGCCTGTGTTATAGAGTTGGCATATTCTGTCTTGTAGCCCCAACGCATGTGTTATAGAGAAGAGATATTCTGTCTTGCATCTCTAACGCCTGTGTTATAGAGTTGGCATATTCTGTCTTGTAGCTCCAACGTCTGTGTTATAGAGAAGATATATTCAGTCTTGTAGCTCCAACGCATGTGTTATAGAGAAGAGATATTTTGTCTTGTAGCTCAAACGCCTGTGTTATAGAGAACATATATTCAGTCTTGTAGCTCCAACACCTGTGTTACAGAGAAGAGATATTCTGTCTTGTAGCTCCAACGCCTGTGTTATAGAGAAGAGATATTCAGTCTTGTAGCTCCAACGCATGTGTTATAGAGAAGAGATATTCTGTCTTGTAGCTCCAACGCATGTGTTATAGAGAAGAGATATTCAGTCTTGTAACTCCAACACTTGTGTTATAGAGAAGAGATATTCTGTCTTGTAGCTCCAACGCCTGTGTTATAGAGACGAGATATTCTGTCTTGTAACTCCAACACCTGTGTTACAGAGAAGAGATATTCTGTCTTGTAGCTCCAACGCATGTGTTATAGAGAAGAGATATTCTGTCTTGTAGCTCCAACGCATGTGTTATAGAGAAGATATATTCAGTCTTGTAGCTCCAACGCATGTGTTATAGAGAAGATATATTCAGTCTTGTAGCTCCAACGCATGTGTTATAGAGAAGATATATTCAGTATTGTAACTCCAACACCTGTGTTACAGAGAAGAGATATTCAGTCTTGTAGCTCCAATGACTGTGTTATAGAGAAGATATATTCAGTCTTGTAGCTCCAACGCCTGTGTTACAGAGAAGAGATATTCAGTCTTGTAGCTCCAACGCCTGTGTTATAGAGAAGATATATTCAGTCTTGTAACTCCAACACCTGTGTTACAGAGAAGAGATATTCTGTCTTGTAGCTCCAACGCCTGTGTTACAGAGAAGATATATTCTGTCTTGTAGCTGCAACGCCTGTGTTACAGAGAAGAGATATTCAGTATTGTAGCTCCAACGCCTGTGTTATAGAGAAGAGATATTCTGTCTTGTAACTCCAACACCTGTGGTACAGAGAAGAGATATTCAGTCTTGTAGCTCCAACACCTGTGTTACAGAGAAGTGATATTCAGTATTGTAGCTCCAACGCCTGTGTTATAGAGAAGAGATATTCAGTCTTGTAGCTCCAACGCCTGTGTTATAGAGAAGATATATTCAGTCTAGTAGCTCCAACGCCTGTGTTATAGAGAAGAGATATTCTGTCTTGTAACTCCAACACCTGTGGTACAGAGAAGAGATATTCAGCCTTGTAGCTCCAACACCTGTGTTACAGAGAAGTGATATTCAGTATTGTAGCTCCAAGGCCTGTGTTATAGAGAAGAGATATTCTGTCTTGCATCTCTAACGCCTGTGTTATAGAGTTGGCATATTCTGTCTTGTAGCTCCACCGTCTGTGTTATAGAGAAGATATATTCAGTCTTGTTGCTGAATTCCTGCCAATCTTAATGTCTAAACCAGGGCCCAGTTGTTCAAAGGGTGATTAGCTTAATCACTGTTTAACGATATTTTTCAACCTTTAATAGTTGTGTCAATATACAAGATGCAATCTCACAATTTTGCATGTATATTCACTCTACTAGATATTTGAGATCTGGAAAGTTGTACCTAATTCAATATTTTTGTTTTAAAGTTACTTAAAATATAAAATTTGCGCTAATCACTGATTAAGCTAGTCACCTTTTGAACAACTGGGCCCAGGAGTTTGATATTCCAGTCCTAGTTCTAACTTTAAGCAATTAAAGTTCGATCTGTGCCATTTAATTTTGATGTGTGATCTTGCAAACCAGACCGAAATTTGATTATAGATTACTCCTTCCCCTTCCTCTTGATTTGGTATCCTTGAAACTGATCGTGAAATTTTTGTTTTCACGTTATTCCTATGGATGCAAACATATCTAAAACCGACACTTAAAGATATTCTTAACAAAGTCCCCCCCCCCCCGAGGTTTCATATACATTATACATCCAGCTACGTCACCGGTTTCCTTTCATGATAGATATATACCAAATTAAAATAATCATAATTTACATCAATATCTTAGGGTCCCTACCATTTCTCCACAAGTCATCAAACAGTTAGCATACATATTTGTATAACAAACTTCTATTTTTGAAGAACTTTTAATATTTCTTTCAAACATATTCTCGAAAACCCATATTCCGCAGGAAAAACAAGCAAAACAAAGCTAAGTGCAGTATAATTAGAACAAGTGAGTTAAATAAATTGTTAATCAAAATGAGAAGTCGATATTTCTTATGTTTCGATATACAACAAAACCCTTTTTAGGCCTGCTCGGATCATGATACTTCACAGTCATGAAACATTTATCATAATCAAGGAGACATTCAAGGTAGGAGAAATGTATTAACGATATTTAAATCTACTCTTTCTATTGAAATAATACCTTTTCTTTTTCTGCCTTCAAAACAGTTTTTTCCTGGTGATAACAGATTTAACATACCGCACATAAGTACGTATAATCATGTTGTAATGTAATTCAACTTGGTATTGGCATTCTTTGCTTAGTCACCATGTCAGGGATTTTAACCTGTCGTGTCGTTTTGTAGTAACTGGTTTTGACATACAATAATGGCATGAGAGGTCCTAATAATATCAGGTTTTATAAACCTCTTTACACAAACATCACTCATGCGATGCAAGGTTATAAAAATTCCTGAGCTCAGTTTCATTATTGATATTATTTTGCTCACACGGCCGGTTTTAAATAAATGGAACCGAGCCCTAATCAAATTGACCCATTCATGTATTGTTTCTATAAAGTCACGCGCCGGTCGAGGTTTTTATGTCACACACAATCATCATACCGACCAACAATTGGGTCATGCATGACCTGGCGCGAACGCTTCAAAATCTAATAGGTTTTATTTTAACGGAATGTGGGTCATAATTTACTTATTTACTCATAAGGTATCAGATATTAATTAGATTTATTGAATGGATATATCTCAATCGATCTTTCCGCATAATTATATCAATAGTGAAACTAGTGTTTGAATGGTTCTTCTTGTGGATTTTAATACGGCTTCACGTGTATACATTAACTCTTACAGTCATGTTACAAAACATTAACCACGCTCCATCAAGTGAACTTTATAATGACCACTTTTCCCATTTACCTACATATATAGCCTGACTAAATTACATTCTCATATTGGGCACGCCTTTTCACGTGCATGTATAGTAAGTCTGTAGTATTACACAACATTGGACAAGTCTTTCATGGCCATGCAAAGTCTGTTGTTTTGTATCATCATCTTGACCATATTCCATTATACATACTTTGAACAGTATTACTTGAATACACCCCTTAGAGGTTTAAGCCTCTTCTGTCACGTTGTCCCTCGTTGGGAGAACACATGAGAACACAAATTCCATCCCTAGCTATCTGTTATTGGTACTTTCCTTTTCAACTATACCCTCGTTAACTTTAAGGATCTCCGAAACACTGCAAAAGACTAAATACATATCTGAAACGTTTTTACATGCATAACCATAATTCGATAATTCGTTTCTCAATAGAAAACGATACCTTGGGACTTGATGGGGGAGGGACTGTTACTCTCTTTCATATTGTAGGGAAGACACCTGCAGCCATATGCTCCTACTAATTTGTATCTATTGTAAGGGAGGATATACGCATTGTTAGTACCTGTTGCACACTTACACATTGTAGGGAGGACACCTCTATCCTTACCTGGCGTGGGCGTCATTTTGGTCACTGTATCACCTGGCGTGGATCATAGTGGAGATATATTGGGCTGCCACGGACAATCAAAACGATGCAGAATTCTTCATATACCTGACCAACCTCGGCTATGTCCTACTGGTCAGCTTCACGTGGCTGGACCTGGCTGCAGTTATATACTACATCGTTAAAGTAAAGAATGACGGTGACGTCACCAGTAAGTGCATTCTTAACGTTTATCGTTTAACGTAATGAGTTCATATAGTTTCACACATACATGCATTCACAAAACAAAAAGACAAACTATGTCTGAAGTGTTAATAAAGGTCACCAAAGCGTGTTTTCCTCAGTGACTTTATGTTATACTGACTCCCCAAACTATTCAAAGTAACCACTATAACTATGAAAAATAGGAAGCACCTATTAAAATTAGAATTAAATCTTATTGACCAAACAAAGAAGATATTGTCCTCGCAATATGGCCTGTTCATCCATTTAGGACTAATCATTGGTATTTGAATTCAAAACAAAGAAAAATCCTTGTTGGATGTGTTCCGAATCACATGTAGAATACAGCGAACAGGGACAGGTGTCTATAAAACGTTTGTAAACGTTACAAATAAAGACTGTGATTACAGCAGATAATTAGCCATAAAATATGGGAAACTCAAGAATTGGAAACTAATTAATGTTGCCAGCTTCTCTGAATAGTAATAGACATTGGTGATTGGATACCATGCATTTAGACGTGATTTATATTGTCGGAAAATATATTTCCAAAAATATAAAGGGCATGAATGATTGTTGTGACAGAATAGACATTTTACTGTAAATATGAAAGTGGACTAGTAGGGGACCTTTACCAGTATGATATACACGTTCTATTCTTAAATGACATTATTAAAACATTACCGAAAACGACACTAACACGTCTTTAGACAAAGGTGAAAGACATGTGCTTTTCGTTTTGTGATAGGAGTTGAAAGAATATGTGTAAAAAAAAATAACGAGCAGTATCTATGTATCTATGTATATATGCCACTGTTTGATGTTCTGTTTATCATCTTTAAAGGTATGCCCCTGCTGTGGAAAGTCAACTGGGTTCTATATAACATGGCTATGACGACAGCTATTGTCGTGGTGCTTCTATACTGGATCCTACTAGCCACGTGTAAGTTCACATCCTAGCTCTGTTATGTCTCTTATTTCATATTGTGCATGACTAGATCTGCTACAATTGCGTCACTACTGGTAAACAAGTCACTTAAGTGTGGTCTACTATATATCGATAGCATCTTGTAAGTTGCGAACACTCGATTTTTTACTATATCACTTAATGCATATTACTCCCTGACTAGAACTTAATGCTGGTCTGATGGATCCTTCAAGCGTCTCGTCTTTGAATGTTTACTACCGCCTTTGCCTGTGACATTTACTGTGTACTGCCGCCTTTGCCTGTGACATTTACTGTTTACTGCCGCCTTTGCCTGTGACATTTATTTTTACTGCCGCATTTGCCTGTGACATTTACTGTTTACTGCCGCCTTTGCCTGTGACATTTACTGTTAACTGCCGCCTTTGCCTGTGACATTTACTGTTTACTGCCGCATTTGCCAGTGACATTTACTGTTTACTGCCGCCTTTGCCTGTGACATTTACTGCTAACTGCCGCCTTTGCCTGTGACATTTACTGTTAACTGCCGCCTTTGCCTGTGACATTTACTGTTAACTGCCGCCTTTGCCTGTGACATTTACTGTTTACTGCCGCCTTTGCCTGTGACATTTACTGTGTACTGCCGCCTTTGCCTGTGACATTTACTGTTATCTGCCGCCTTTGTCTGTGACATTTATTGTTAACTGCCGCCTTTGCCTGTGACATTTACTGTTTACTGCCGCCTTCGCTTGTGACAATTACTGCATAATGCCGCCTTGGCCTGTGACATTTACTGTGTACTGCTGCCTTTGCCTGTGACATGTACTGTTAACTGCCGCCTTTGTCTGTGGCATTTACTGTTTACTGCCGACTTTGCCTGTGACATTTACTATGTACTGCCGCCTTTGCCAGTGATATTTACTGTTTACTGCCGACTTTGCCTGTGACATTTACTATGTACTGCCGCCTTTGCCAGTGATATTTACTGTTTACTGCCGCATTTTACTGTGACATTTGCTGTTTACTGCCGCCTTGGCCTGTGACTTTTACTGTGTACTGCCGCCTTGGCCTGTGACTTTTACTGTGTACTGCCGCCTTTGCCTGGGACATTTACTGTTAACTACCGCATTTGTCTGTGACATTTATTGTTAACTGCCGCTTTTGCCTGTGACATTTACGGTGTACTGACGCCTTTGCCTGTGATGTTTACTGTTTACTGCCGCATTTGCCTGTGACATTTTCTGTTTACTGCCGCCTTTGTCTGTGACATTTACTGTTATCTGCCGCCTTTGCCTGTGACATTTACTGTTAACTGCCGCATTTGCCTGTGACGTTTACTGTGTACTGTCGCCATTGCCTGTGACATTTACTGTTTACTGCCGCCTTTGCCTGTGACATTTACTGTTTACTGCCGCCTTTGCCTGTGACGTTTACTGTTTACTGCCGCCTTGGCCTGTGATATTTACTGTTTACTGCCGCCTTTGTCTGTGACATTTACTGTTAACTGCCGCCTTTGCCTGTGGCATTTACTGTTAACTGCCGCCTTTGTTTGTGATATTTACTGTTTACTGTCGCCTTTGCCTGTGACAATTACTGCATAATGCCGCCTTGGCCTGTGACATTTACTGTGTACTGCCGCCTTTGCCTGTGACATTTACTGTTTATTGCCACCTTTACCTGTGACATTTACTGTTTACTGTCACCTTTGCCTGTGACATTTACTGTTAACTGCCGCCTTTGCCTGTGACATTTACTGTAAACTGCTGCCTTTGCCTGTGACATTTACTGTGTACTGCCGCCTTTGCCAGTGATATTTACTGTTTACTGTCGCCTTTGCCTGTGACAATTACTGCATAATGCCGCCTTGGCCTGTGACATTTACTGTTTACTGCCGCCTTTGCCTGTGACATAATTTGGATATTGTAACCTATTGCATTTCACTTAGTCAACCTCCATTCTTTGAAGTCCCTTTTGCCAAAGGCTAATGTTCATCATGAGCTAGGTATGCTGTGCTATAAGGTATTCAGCTATAACTATTTTAAGAGTTTTATTATTTTTAATGCAGCACCACTTATCAATGCAACATAATAATCTGCTTTATTTCGTTGTAGCGTTCGGACCAGGGAGCATCAACAAACATCTCATTAATGGTGTGATAGCCCTGCTGTACATTTCCTTCACAGCCAAGCCCTCCCGTATCCTTCACTTTTATCAGCCTGTAATGTTCGCCGCTTTGTACTCTATTTTTTCTGTGATATACTTTGGAGCGGGAGGGGGTAATGTTTACAGTGTGCTGGACTGGAGTAAACCGGGTAACGCCCTCGCCCTCACTCTACCGCTGGTCCTTGTAGGCGTACCCCTCATCCACTTGGCCGTGTGTGGCATCTACCGTGCACGTGTAGAAATATGGCGGAAATGTTGTTCCCCAGATGGGTCCCAGACCTTTCCCCGTACAGACAGTGAGATGGGAATGGGCAGTACGGTTAAGAACGCCGACAAAATATCGACCATATGTAACGAGACAAAGAGAACTGACACTGTATAGGTGACAGTGTGATTGTTGTATAGGGCTAGTGCAAACCTCGAAATCCAACTATCTGTAACTACGTAAACAAAGAATCTGTGATGTTCTTGATCACCTTGTTGCCATATAGATGTTTTGTGTTGTCTAGATGTGGAAATGCTTGCCATAGATGTACCCTCGTTCATTGAAACTGTTGTCGGGCTCTCGTCACTGGAGTATGATCATTAAAGCCCGCCGGATTGAGGAACCATATATATGCATGATATGCTGGGTCAAAGACATATGATCAGGAACGTTTATCTAAACTTAACGAGAATGGTAATCATTTAAAGGAATACCAGAAAATCGGCATGGTTTTTACTTTACATTTAGATAGCTTAATGTGCGTGAAGTTTAATTAATTTTATTTGTATAGACTATAAGTCTTTCCAACCGCATATCTGTGATATAATGGAAATCCATTTGTATTTATCAAACAAACAAATTTTATATTAATTATAGTGTTTTAGTGTTCAGTATCTTATTTATCTAAGTATGCTACCTCATTATCGAGTACATGAATTCTAGATTGTTAATATATATTCATGGTATAATGAAGAGCTTTGTAGATTAAGATATTATTATACATAATTTCGAATCCTTTATTTTCATACTACATATGATGGGTTCTAGGACCCAAAGAAAGAGAAACATAACTTTATGTTATAGAACTATCTGTGTAAATTACTTGATTATCCTCAAAGTTTTACGTTGTTATCCTCAATGTGTTGTCGTGTTATATATGTAATGACCAGTACTAAGGAAATTGGACTTGGTCATCTATGTATTTATGCATGATGTTTATACTACATGTATTTCTTCATAATTTCTTCAAATCGTAATTTTTTATTAAATCAATTATCTATGTAAATGCTTGTTGGTGTTTTCTTTTAATGATATTCGGCAAGGTAAAAAGAATTTACAACTGAAAAACGCGCTCATATTTTGATAAATAATACTTATGCATGAAGCTACTCATTGTAGGATGCTTCGTTTGACAGTATATTGCACATTATAGTGAATGAGGAGATATTTGAACATTAATACACTTCTGTATAAACCACAGTGTCTGAAGAATTGGCGATTTGCTTTTGTGCCCTCTACTTGAGGACACAAAAGCGACAAAATTAATCTGCTGCATCCATGGCAATATTTGGTATCTTTATATTTCTCTCTGCTTCTTACTACCTTTTTCTCCTTGCGCCTTGCTTGGCAATACTTCACTTTTGGCTTTAATGTTGAACAATCGCCCAGATGAGGGCGGCAATTTGTTCTGTGCCTATACCAAGTCCTTACAAATGGTAATTGTTATTCCATGCTTTACGTTCAGCATTTAGGGTAATGGCAACAACTGGTTCACTCTTTGTCAGTATAATGTGACCGGGCGTAATACAATGATGGGTACCCTCGGCATGGTATTTCAGTGAGGTAGCACTCTCAAGCCGGCACCAGATCCGCGCTGTCAGAAGGAATCAAATACACCAGTATAGCCTGCCTCTGACACACACACACACACACACTTACACAACACACATGGAGCCACGTCCTTAAATGACCTTAGCTGTTGACAGGACGTTAAACCCTGTACAACCAATTAACCAACATTTTCCTTCACTTCTGATGTGTGCAACTCCTTCAGAATGTTGATTTAACCTTTTCTGTTGTCAATTGATATAAAAGCAACGCGTTAAGACATAAATGCGAAATATGTGCAACAAACGACAGGAGACAAAGAAACAAAAGGAAAAGCTTGATTGATCCTTGGGTCGAAACCAGCTTAGCGTTTCCTCTACCTGTATGACCAATACTCATGACGGACACTGGAGGCCAAGACTGGTAACTTATTAGGACTATCTGACGATCGTTATATTTCTGTTGTGTATATTGAAGCACTGGCTGCATAATTAATATATCTAGAAAATCAGCACCGACATACTTAGAACAGGCTCGGAAGCAGAAAATCAGCCGAGTGGAACATGCAAACTCAATAAGCTGCGACTGAGAGCATCTGAACGAGCGTAGAACTAGTGATGTTTATTACAGTTCGTATCGAGTAACCAGAAGTACTGTCATTGTGTAGGTAAATGGCAAAGCATGTGTTAAGCTGGCGAAGAGAACGAACGATCTTAACTGCATATCTTCCAAAGCCAATACAGATTTCCTTACTCACCAGTAATTAGATAAACCTGCTAGGCGTCGGTAAACATGTTTGGTTACCCACTAGTGGGTACCGCCATGGACGTTATTTCAATGATCAATCTTTTAATCACTTAACATTAATTTGCGACGCCATCTTCCATTGTGACGCTATGATTCATGTAAATTGTTTCCGCATCAGAAACACACATAATGTATATCTCAGGAAAGCATGTGATTTTCAAAATAAAATATTATCGTTATGAGAGAAAAAAATGTCCCCAAAAGTCCTGATGGTTCATTATCATGTTTATCTAATTTCCGAAAGTTAACTTTCAACTTATAAAAGACAGGCTGCAAACCCCGTATCTTTATAAAATTTGGAAATTAACTTATATAACTCGAGTTAGATAAACATGATAAGCAATCATCTCGTTGTATCATAAACTTATGGATGATAAATGAGATGTAAATGTTTCTTTCTCTCCTTTGTTTTTTTCTTTCTTTTATTTACTTACACACACAATGGCGAAATATCTTATTGTAAAATTAAAGAAATAGAAGAAGAAAAAAACATTCTGGAGCTCTTAAATGTATGTATCCAAGCATGAATTTATTAACATAACTATCGATTGTTATCTGGAGATTTCAGAAGTATCTAAAATTGCACGCGTCCTATGTGGAGGAAATGCCCTTCCTGGTAACATAGCACGTATAGTTTAGTAAAACACATTTACACAATAAAGGTACCTCATTATATACCTTGATTGACAGTTGCCTTTCTGTGCACTAGTCCTTTCTCTGAGAATGGAGTTAGCTTATCTCGTTATGTAAAAGAACTAGGTAGATATATTGGTATATGTTGGTGAAAGGTATTGTGCGAGTTGATCTGCCAACAATGTTTCAAGCGAAATGTATTACAACTTTATACACAAATGCTTTAAAACCATCACACATGGAACTTATCTAACATGACACAAGCTGAGGAGAGATAGTGTTATTGACATTTCACATGATAAAAAAAACTCCGACTTATTCAAATGTCACTCGTTCAAATAAAACGGCCAACAGCTAAAATTAGTTGAAAGTAAAAAATTCGAAAATAATGAGTATAGTGAAAGACTAATGTGAAGCTTATCATAAATATCCTTATGATACAAGTACCTATGACCGTTTCTCCCTTTTTTCAGTAGTCCTTAATTCAGCTTTATGAGAATACAGCACAGATCAACTGAAATAGGTGCTTGCACAAATTTAACAAAAATTTGTTGACACTGCTATTTATGTATTTACAATAAATATAATCATAGGGGTAGACTTTCTAGCCAGCAGTATGATGTCAAAATAATAAGACTCATTTTACTGACAACAAGAATATGTTTTGTGACGGTGTTTGCCATTGGGCTTAAATAACCCAATTATATAGATTAGGTATACTACTTACGCCGACTCGATTAGAAAAATCACACACGCGATCTCAAGTAAACTCTCCTAACACATATTTAAAAACTATACGTTGGTGTCCCTAATTCTATCATTACCTCTTTTGCTGTAACCCATCTTTAACATCTTATATATATATACATATATAAATTTGTATTAGTTTATTACGTGACATATTAATTTTGTACATATATTTTCTGTCACGGAAAGGACGCAAGTAAGTTGCACTACCTTTTGTCCAATCCATTTGTCTTTTGTTGCAATAAAATTGATTTAAACTCAACTCAATTATTTTAGAATGGTACTATATAATGTGGGAAGAAATAGACATTAGTCATTGTTCTCCTGAAGTTCTGTAGAAAATTTAAACAATTTCATTCATATGAATAAGCAGCATCACAATAATGTTTTCAGTGTTTTGGTTACTGAGGGTAGTATGCATGTGGCTAAGAATTTTACTGAGGTCAGTATGGTGGTTAAGAGTCTTACTGAAGTAAGTATGATAATTAAGAGTTCCACTGAGGTTCGTATATTTGTTAAAAGTTTTACTAAGGTCAGTATGGTGGTTAAGAGTTTTACTGAGTTATGTGTATTGGTTAAGATATTTACTAATGTCAGTATGGTAGTTAAGAATTTTACTGAGGTCAGTATGGTGGTTAAGAGTCTTACTGAAGTAAGTATGATAATTAAGAGTTCCACTGAGGTTCGTATATTTGTTAAAAGTTTTACTAAGGTCAGTATGGTGGTTAATAGTTTTACTGAGGTTAGTATGGTGGTTAAGAGTTTTACTGACGTGGGCATAGTGGTTAAGAGCTTTACTGAGGTTGCTAGTATTTTAAGGCTAACCATTCAAATGCCCTGCGATAAACCGTTTCTTATTGTACAGGGATCCACGAATAATTTAACTTTTTATTCACATCCCTGGGTGTCATGTATATCACCTTAAACATACCGGTAAGGATGCTGAAGTAGCCACTTTGTCAAGCAGAATCATATGCTAAAAATATGTATAATATATGATATCAAAGAACTGCTGTTACCCACTGCATGTATCGTCAGAGGCGATTAATGTTGGAACCCCTGCAATTTGGGATTTGCGTTGGTGTCCTCTACTTGGAGACGCAAAAGCGACCAAAATAAACCTGCTACATCGATTGCAATATTTGGAATCTTTATATTTCGCTCTACTTCTAACTATCTTTTATCTCCTAACGTCTTTCTTGACAATATCCTACTTTTGGCTTTAGCGTTGAACGTTCGCCCAGGTGAGGAAGGTAATGGGTTCTAACCCAAAGTCCTTAAGAATGTGACAACCAACCAACCTTAGGGTATGACTTCTATTTCATAGTTTAAGTTTAAACATATTTTATTGTACAAACATACAAATGGATCGGACAACAAGTTATTACAACTTAATAGAGTCCTCTCCTCAATACATATTGTAAAAATAGTGTATATGTTTTTGGGGAAAAGATAGGTTGAGGAAGGAAGGAACTGTGGGGTGGGAGGGGGTTGGAGGGGAGAGGTGTTACCTAGAAAATTAATCTTGTAAACTGAGAAATTGATCCGCATTTGAATCAATTATAAATTATACAGATTTCATGACATGCATCCTGGTAGAGTACTTTCAAAACGAACAGAATCAATGTAACAAATAAATCAGGCAAAATAATGAAATACAATTTCATAAACACATATAACAACTTAAATAAGAATAGAAAATTAATTATTACTTTCAAAACCTATTGCTGGATTTGATGTAATGATGTACATGTCTGAAGATACTTATGTTGTTTTCTACCGAAAGTTGACTATTTCCAAACAAAAGTAGTTCTAAATTAAAATCAACATGCAAGGCATTCAAATTTAGGAGCAGGGTATGTCTTTCGTTGTTAAAAAGTAAGCACTCCCATAGGGTACATGCTTTCTATTTCATTAAATTAAAATAAAAGTAAATTTTCCCTATCGTAACATTTCCAAAAATACTGATGGATGTTTAGAAGATTTGTATGACAATATGTATTATATCTTTTAAATAAAGAAAGGATTTTTATAGAAATAATTAATTTAATAAAACTTATTTTTTCTAAATGCTAATTTCTATTTGGTTGAATAATTACGCAAAAATGTAAAATAACGATAGAGCAATAAATGCTCACTGTTTTATATATATATATATATATATGTACTGAATGAATTGCCTTTTGAAAAAAAAATGTTTCTTTGTTTTTCAAATCAAATTCTGATTGAGAAACTAGTACGAATTGTTAGTTTGAATTATAAGAACATAAAGTATCAAATCAGCACTCCGGCCCAAATTTCCTAGACAGACATTAATAATACCACGTACTGAGCTAAAGAAATTATTAAGGTGACTTTGACACTGTGTACAATGTACATTATTTACAATGACACACATACACATTATGTAATGATCCACACTTTTTGCTTGCTAACTCCCCTATCTAGGAGACTCCCGATTGTCTTTAGGGGGTACGTATACACACACATTTTATATATGTTTTTAATTTTGAGCATGAGGAATCCCCACATGTTATTTTTTTTTCAAACTGTTAGTGGCAAGATAGATAAGGATTGAGTAATGAAAAGAATACTTGCATCATGAAAAATAAATTAACAGTTAGATATTTTTTTAGAGATATTTACAGGCATGTTGATATATTTTAAGACGATCAAAGTACACTGCGGATCATAATATAAAGTTCGTATTGAAACAAAAGACCAAGGGGTGACAACTAAAATATAAGATCATTTTTACCTTGTTATCATTGAATTTATTTAACTTTGATCGATGTGAGTATGCTTTAAAAGCTGCATCCACCCTAGCCTTGTGTCAAACTCTTTGTATGAAAAAACACAAGCCGTGTCATTTCAGAAACGTGGTGATGATGTCAGAAGTAACTCACCAGTCGTTAGAGTTATTTCCCTTTAATGAATTTTCCTCAAAGTNGCTTTTCCGCTACTTTTCGACACTTTTCGGCTTTTACCCATACCGCTCAAAGTTTACGTCACGTGCGTAAATAACAAAAATGGCGCAAGATTGTTTTGGTTTTTCAAATGTAATAATAATTGCATTTACCTGAATTCTATGCGGAACCGAAGTTGGATTCGAAGAGAATAATGTCTTGGAAGTTTCCTTGGTCTGAATTTGTGAAGAAAAGGGCATGTAGATACCTGCTACAGCATTATCTCGGCCATTTTCTAAAGGAAAAGTTGACCCTCGAACAGCTGAGTGTCGATCTGTATAATGGAACTGGGAAAATTCGACAGCTTGATCTGGACGTCGAGGTGCATGATACTTTTCATTTTAACGCTTACGAAAGCACATTTAGTTGATATGTTATCTCAAGGTTAATGCCCAGCCAAATATTGCATAAAATTCTCGTAAACACAAATTGTTTTCGATGCGTAAAATGTAAACAAACAAATTCGGCCATATTTTTTTTGTATCGTTTTCTTTGTGTAAATCGTTGACAAGAATATTTCTATCATTCCATATGAATTTGATACCACCTAGGGTTGTTGGAGTTGCGTGGACAGACAGAGAGAAAAAATCACTTTCTCTTTAAAATCATGCTACAATGTCATACACTGGTTCAACCGCAGCGTTTTGTAGAGGACCCGAGTTGTATTGTTTATACCATAAGGTGTACATGCACATATCAAGATAATGTTTCGACCATCATTAAAATATCTGTGTCCCATGGTCAGGACAAGAGGTCAAACCAATTGGTAATGTTATATAATTAGCAGTTGTGCATGCTGGGAGCATGTAGTTTGTGTCAACTGCAAAAAATCATCGTTTTGGTGTATGCTTGGCAAGGGGATTATCTAAACCTGGGTTGTAAATAATTGCATCTTCGGGGTCGAAGATTTCGAAAAAGGAGGGAGAAATGTAGCAAAACTGGACTGGGTCGATCCTCGTTGACCAGGTAGCTCAATTGGTACTGCTTTCGTCTAGAGTTCGGAGGGTCCAGGGTTCGAACACCTGTCTTGCTGTGCATTTTTCCTCTTTTGTTACACACTCACCTATTAACCCATAATGCCACATGGTCAAAATTCGAAATATGCCTTACAAAACAATTGAAGGTAATTTCAGGGCGCGTCTAATTACCCAATACTACCCAATACTACCACATACGATCCAGTTATGAACCAAATACTTCTTTATTACTGTGAAATATCACAGTTCTTGAAATTATTTACTTCTATATGTCACATCCTATCTGGAAATATGCGATTTGGTGCAGAAAACATCACCGAAATGCCATGACTAGGGGTTCGAAGATTTACAGGAACGAGCAGGAACATTAATGAATATATATAAATTAGATACATTTAAGTATCATTATCGGGTATAAGATATATTTGATAAAAGAATTGCAATTACATGATACTATATTAATTCTATTCATGCCATAAAATGGTGTTATTAAGATCATATATATAAATTTAACAGGAAATATTTAGAAAATTCGAAATTACTTTTCAAAAATGTTAGTTATTCAATTTTGTTAAACATAAAACGCGCCGCTCCTTTCATGACATACATATCATCACCACACATATAAAGTCATATATTAACCACTTTGAAAGTTCCTATATACTTTATCAAAATTCATAGTTAGGGTATTTTATGGTTAATGTATTTTGTAGTCTTATATTTAAATGACCTATATACAATAAGGTCATACATACATTGAGCCAGTGCACATAGTAGAAAATGGGCAGATTATAGCCTATCAAATATATATGACCCTTTTCTGCTGTGTGCATGGCTCTAGATATCTACAAACCTATAATTGGGTGTACCAGGAGGGAAAGTGGTGCAAATAATATTTCAAAAAGTCGGTTGAAATGGAAAAGACATGTGGACAAATATCCCAGATGTTGTATTTGGTGCCATGGATGATTTTGGTTTATAGTCTATAGCTAGTACTCATGGACACTGCAAAAAGATAAGTTCATTCTACATCTCAGGGGGGCCATGTTAGTTGTCTGTAAAAAAATATTTATTTATTTTCGAATACTTATGAAACAAATGATATCAACTTGATCGCTCTTGTTGGTTTGGAGGGTATCTTTTTTTGACAGAAAACCAGAATACCTGGGGGGGGAAAAACACATGGTCAAGTAGGTGACCCCATAGCTTTTCTGTTGTCTGTAACTACTAACTAATTACACAGGAGATACAAAAGGTCTATATTCTTTCCCCAAAACTGCACAAGGGCTGGAAAGGTGCCGAAGGCCGAACCATGTATTTACTTTACAGTTAATAGTGGAAAGGTTAAGTATCACAAGCAGTAAGTGAAATGCATAACCTTTCTACTATATTCTTAACAACCTGAAGAAAATGTTTAGAAACATTTATTTACTTATCCGGAGTATATACAACTTTTAAACAGCTGGTCATGGGCATTGAACATGACAGGAGAGGACATATACTGTATTATTTACTCCTTGTCCTTTTCTGAAATGTAATATTTGACATTAATGTCCATGCGTTAAGTTATATTTACAACAAAAATTAATAAAGATAATATAGGAAACAGACCACAGGCTATGCGGTTCCTTTTTGTTTATCATACAAGCTAGTTAAAATGGAAAACATGTGAAATTTCAAATGTTTTTTATTTTGATTCAAAACAGGCCATAAATGAGGTTTTGGACAACAGTAATCTACCAGTTGAGATTGTGGATGGTTTTATAGATGAAATAGCTGTATCTATACCATGGACAGCTCTCATACAGAGCAGTACAGAGATGGAGATCCGGGGGCTGGAACTGACCCTACAGCCAAAACAGAGGAGCAGCAATGGTCAGTACAAGTTACCTAATGGCTCACTATCAGTATAGTAGAACAGGTAATAGAGGCAGGCTCATGGTGGTAGACAAGTTAGACCAAAGGAACATATAGCTCCACTACAGACAAAGGAAAACAGCGAGGAGAAATAGCTTAGAATTTGAACTTGTATGCACAAATATATCTTCTACAGATACTCCTTACCTTAAGGTATAGATGGAGTAAAATTGTTATCAATCATGACTCAAACAGTACTGTTTAAACAGGGTCTTAGTAGGCTTATGAATTCTGCTTCCTTAGCCTTAGGTTTAATTATGTTTATCAACTATGGATAAGGAGGAAGTATTCAAAATTTGTCATCAATACAACTTGTGTGTGTTCACTGACCAGTGACAATCTGAAAGCTGTCTGTATTTGGTGTCTATGTACAGTAATTCTGGTGTGTTATATTTGCATATGACACCTCCGGGTGTTTTTATTAAGGAAGGAAATATCAACCTGCTCAGTTTCAAACATACATATGTATATAGGATTTGATGTAAATCGCGGACATTATTTGCTGAAATATGACCCTGTAAGATTACGCCTGGAGACTTTATAGCACATGTACACCAAAAACATTGACTCCGGATTAGGTCAGGTCCAGAGATGAACATGATCTACAAATCAAATGTTTAAATTTGCAGCCCAAGGCCTGGAGACCATGTTTTGCAGTATGAACAGTAGCATGACCACCAGTCTACAGATAGCAGAGGAGTGTCTGAAGGAGGACCGAGCCAAACCGTTCAGAGGTCGTGAAGGCAGCCTCGGAGATGATGGGGGTCAGCAGTTTGAAGGAGTACAGAAGTTTGCTCAGACTATCGATTCGGGTAATATTTCCTGGTGAAAAAGTGAACTGATAAAAACAAGTTTCCTTGTGTTTCTAATTACATTTAAAGTTATTTGCAGATAAGTGGATATTTTTTATTTGTTCCAATTTCTCAATGGCCCTTATAGGTAGATGGTTCTTATTTCTTCTCCCATAATATCTAATAATTGGTATATTTACTAAGAACTGTAAAGAGCTATATTCTAAACATTTATATCTCCCTTGTTTTCAGTGCTTTGTAGGGTGAAAGTTACTTTGGTGGACACTGTGATACGACTTGAGCACCTCCCCAACAGTGCTGAAACAGGGGTGGCACTAGAAATCAGGATCAAAAGGTAAGGCATGTGACATAGGGTTTGTGCTGGAAGATTTAGTTATAATTATACATCTTCAGCAGTGCTGAAACAGGGGTGGCACTATGAATCAGGACCCATGCTGACATAGGGTTTGTGCTGGAAGATTCAGTTATAATTAGTCATCCTCAGCAGTGCTGAAACAGGAGTGGCACTATGAATCAGGACCCATGCTGACATTGGGGTTGTGCTGGAAGATTAAGTTATAATTATACATCCTCAGCAGTGCTGACACAGAGGTGGCAATGGAAATCAGGATCAAAAGGTAAGGCCAACCACAAAGTGACAAGCTGACAAAAAGGCTAAGTTGAAAACTAGAACACTATTATACAACCTCATGAGTTCTGAAATAGGGTCCTCTTTGGGATTCTAGAAAAAAAGGTAGGGCCATGCTGATTTGGGTGGCTGTGCTGGAGTATTTAGTATATTTATAATCATCAATTATGCTGAAACAGGTACAGGTGTAAAAACTAGGATAAATTACGTCTCTCCAACATTAGTGGAGCCGGCAATCAGGATGTAAAAAAAGTAAGGAAAACCGCCCAGCTTTGCTAAAAATAGGGACTGAGGTGGGTTGGGGATATTCATGATAGAAAGGCAAAAGCAAATCTTAAAAGTTTAGGTTGAAAATTGGATAAAGTTTATACTTTTACAGTCATATAATTTATAAAATTGTGCATGATAAGTATTGTAATTGCAAAATCTTATTGTTATAGAATGGAGTACTTTGATGACATGGCTGAGGGATCTTCAGTAGACAATACTGAATTTGCTAAGAATTGGGAGCCTGCAGCTGTGGCCCACAAGAATTTCCTGATGGAGGGCATGCATATTCTGATTGACCACTTCTCCCGTAACTCGCGTCCCCACAGTAACCACTCCGACTCATCCTGCTCATCACCTCAGGTAGGTGTGCCATACTTCTCAGACAGGTCCGATCAAACACACGGCAGGGTAAGCACAGGACTTAAATTTGAATTTACAGTATGGCCTAAAAAAAGCCTTAGATTTCACCTTGGGTTTTGAAAAGCCTTGAATACTGGTTTGTGGCCTTAAAAGTGTTAGAATTTTGCTGTTTAGTAATTCAAAGTCATGCCTTTCTTGCTCTTTAAAGTTTCACAAGAATGTTTAAAACTAAATGGTTTTCCAAACTTGGTCACGATTGTTGTGAAATGTTTTTGCCCTGACATTGATGTATTCAGTGACAAAGCCTGTTCCAAATGAGACACATTTTATTTTTGTGAGATCTTTGTTTTATGGTATAGGAACCACTATTTAAATTGTAGGTGAAATAATTCAAAGCAACACTCGAATCAGAATCTGTTCAGGTCTTTCCATCATAATGTTAAAGTAATCTGAAACCAACCATGCATGGTGTGAAATTAAAGTTCAAATTATGATATTATTTTCCTAGTGGTTTGAGTTGACACTTTTCTTCTTTTGGAACTGGTTAGTATAGAAAACACTAACTCGTTAACATCGAAATGACTGTTTCACCATTTGGTAAAAACAATTTGCTGAAATGTATCAGGAACAGAAAAAAACACCCAGAATGATAATTTGTGTGTGTTTTTAATGTTAATGTGAGATATAAATGAATCTTCTTTATATCTATGATGGTATGCAACAGTTTCGTTCAAACCCATTCTCAAAATCTACTATAGGTCATTATGTAAAATTTAAATTAATAGAACAGTGTTGCATTACATCAAATATGGTAAAAAAGATACATCTCAGTCTTTAATTATGTATCTGTAACTACTTGAGAAATGTTCTTACAATTTATTGAAAACTTTTTCCCTAAACGAGATTAATATTTATTTATTGTATTTTCAGAATTATGACTCTGCAACAAGTTCTCCATTAGGACCCCCCAGGAATATTAACCAATCATCTGAATGTTCTGAATCACCTGACCAGAATGAACCAATCCAAGTTGCTGTTGTTACTGGGAAGACAAGTTTGAAATTAAAGATAAAGCAAGCTGACTCCGTCACAGGACCAAAAGTAAGGAATTAAACATATCTGATGAAAAAAATAAAGTAAAGTTGATGACATTCAACATGATTTTTTTTGCATTTTATAATTAAAATGTATTGTGTAAAACATGTATCATGTTTTATACATTAAGGAATTTCAAATGACTGTACAATGTATACTGAACTTTAAAATGTAAAACATTTAAAAAATAGTTCATACTGAATTAAGTAACTATAAATTACAATTTGCCTGTGCCAGTTGGAGACGGAGGTGGAGCTTGGTGCCCTACACATTCTCCTAGCACCCAGACAGGTACACTCTCTGCTGGAGATCATGGAAGGTCTCATTTCCCCAGGTTTGTTCATTGGAATAGTTTTCATCAACTTCATCAAATGCAAAATTGGAATTATGAAGTATCCTGTTGTCCGAGAAATAGTATACAAATTATATTAATTACTTTTTGCTTCATATTATTGTGCAAGAAACCTTTTGTTTTGAATGTCAGAGTTTTTGAAACTATGTTTCATATCATTTATACTTCAGTCTGTATTTTCATGAAGTGGAGCTCAGGAATAAAGTTTTGCATTCACAAAATAATTTCAATGTTGTGATAAATACAATTTGTGTTGTTTGTTTACAAAAATTTCTGGAGCGATTAAGATTCCCTGTTCCTGCAAAGTACAGGTACGTTCCATTTAACAGGTACCAATGAAGCCGCCAAGAGACGCCACCAGAGTAACAGGAACAAGCCGATGTCTGACGAGGACATGCAGAGAATAGAGCGAGAACTCCAGCGTCAGATGATGGAGGGGCGGGTCCAGACTCACAAGAAATCCTCACTTGATTCCAGACCACTGATGGGCATGCATGATATCATGACGAGTTCAATGGGTCAGTACCCTTTTAACAGTAACATGGTGACGAGAGTGGTTTAGTATCATCTTTTATAGCTAAGGGCTTCACTCTCAATACACATGTTTTGTCTACAAACTGTAATATGTATGTTGAGATTAAAACCCTTGGATTTTGAAGATGGTTTAGCATCTAATATACTGTAATTAGTCCAAGTAAAACCATTCAATTTTCTTCAAATTTATTAATTTTTTCATTTTCACATATGCATAGATAAAAAATATTGTGAAATCAAAGCAAATATAACAGAAGAGGTTAAGTTTATCTATGGTTTCTTCATTAAAACTCATGAAATTATTTAAATTAATTCATGTTAGTGTAACCTTTTCTTATTCCAGTCTCCAGCTATAGCTCCTTCACTGGTATAGTATTACTGTTTATGTACCTGGTACGGTACCTCAGGTCCTCCCTGCTTGTAGTGGTATTCTTCTATATATACAAACTTTCCTAGCAACACCCGTCACAATAAACTGCAACTTGCCAAGGTGAAATAATTTTGTTTAACGTCTGATAGGTTTCATGTAACAAAGTCTCTATCAAAATTAAGAATTAATGTCTATAAATTCAGCATCACAATCAAAATTTTCTTCTTTGGTACTTTTGTCTACAAGCTAGGAAAAATAGCAGTAGTTCTTAAGTCACATAATTTTATCATCTCCCTGTTTTCTCCAGTACACACTCACATCACAGAAACACATGATAAAAATCAGAAGGATTCCTATCATCAGTGCACTTTCCACCTTGTGATACTAAATATGATCTCCATGTAGACAGTCCTTTAAAGATAACTTATAGACCTTCTGTCATCTAGCTTCCTTTGTAACAGTTTTTGTAACAGTTTCCATTATGAGTGATCAAAACAGTCTTTGAGTCCTATGTCAGAATGAGAATATGGAATAAGAAGAGAGTTTTACTTATAAAGGGAGATAACTTGTCATTTCTTGTTCATATATAAATATATGAACAAGAAATGACAATATAATATTGTAATTCTAATTTTGTATTTGTTTTTGAATTTGTGAAAAACATGAGATACATTAAAATAATCCTTTGTGGACTAAAAGTTCTAATTTCTTTAGAGCTACTGTATCATGATCATTGGCATTATATAATTCAGAAAAAACAGTTACACAAAAAATATAAATAACAGTATCAAAGAGCAGAAAAACGATATTAAAATTTAAATTTATCTCATTCTATTCACTCAAAATTTTGAAAACATTGGTGTTGCGATTCAAAAGCAAAGTTGTTATTATGATGCAAATATTTCAAATAAAAAATAGTGGTGTTAAAGTATATAATGCTATATGTATTTCTGTCCTGATATTGGTTTTGAACTACTAGTTGTTATACAATATAAGACTGTTTTACGTTCAGAGGTGTAGGGTATAGAAATTCTACGAAGGGGTTTGAATAAGGGCAAAAAGCAAACATTTTCAAGAGTTTAACCCATATTTGAAAATCCCAAAATGTGAATTACCTATCCTACTATTCTGGGAATATAAAATATTTCTGCCATTTCAATAACAAGAATTCATCCAAAAATCATGAAAAAGCATTTTGCTGTTCTGAAAAAAATAATTTCATGAGCTTTTGGACAAAAAAAACCAGACAGGAAATGAGAGAATATTATGTCTTTCCTGATATCCAATTTAAGAAAATTGTTTTGATTCATTTTTTTTTTTATTAAACTTAATACCACGTAATTCCTGTCTAATTTTAGATGAAGAAGATTGCTACTACTCCCTCAACCCTGCTGGGAAAAGTATAGACATGGAGTCTTCAGTGTCCAGTAATTTCAGTTTGACCTCCAATAGAACAAGCAGTACTGTGACAAGTAAGTTTTGTTTGTATTCAAAATCATGTTGTTTTGACTGTACATATGACTGTATGGGATGTAGGAAACTTCTGTCCAAGGTGTAACAAATTGGATTGAAACCACAGACTTTAACAGTGCATTTTCCTTATTTGTAAAATTAATATAGGTGAATGAACAATTCTGTGGAGTAAATCGTGTTTTCATTGCCCTGTAAAATATTACCCAATAAGGAAAGTAAAGGAACAGCAACATGAAGAATTCCATTGAGTGGACTTTCATTTGGTTACAATGCTTTTAATTGCTACGAACAAAAATGTCAGAACCATAGTTGTACAAGTACAAGTTTCATTTATATGTTTGAAATGTACTTTTATTTCTATTTGAATGAACACTTTACACCTGACTAAACAGAAACATGTAATAATGCTGATATTTTCTATGGAGCACAGGTCGCCAACCAAGCAGAGCTCCCAGAAGAGAGCCCAGTCATTACAAGTCCAAAGGTAAGTCCCCTCTGCTGGTGACCTCTCTCTTTCTGTGTCTTAGTCAAATGTCACAAAGTTAGATACTTGCATCTTTTAATGTTACAATTCTAGATACCTGAACTTGACCTAAAACATTCTATATTAATTCAAAAACGAATTATATAATATTTTTATATAGTATTCTCGGATATGTTATCACTTTTGCATGGCATGTAAAGGGAGACTACTCAACATATTGCCTCCACCACCAAACCACAGTTGCTGGATACACAAATAGTAACATGATGTGATGATGTGTATATACTATAGTATATATGCATCATATTACTATTAGTTTGTCCAGCAACTGTGCACCAAACTGTTGTTAGGAAATAAAGTAAAACAGCAATTTGGTTGTGATGTACTTTTCTATATTCAATGTGACTGTAGTTAAGATTGATTGTAAATTGACCTCAGTGTAATGCATCAATAAACCATAGTGATAGGTGTATTTTGATTTGTGTATAGACACACTACAGAGGATTTTAGATGATCCGAGTGCAGAGATGTGCCGTTACCACCTACGACTTACCTTCTTCACTGTTTCCATCCTCCACGAGAATCCACGCCCAGTTCTTGGCGACAACAATGAACAGTCCTCACAGAAAAACAAGATGAAGGTTATTTCAGATGCGTTCTTTAAACGAGTGTTCACTTTCCATCCCGCTGGCAAGAGTGAGCTGAAAGAAGTGCGGAAACATTTCGCTGAAGCGCTACATCGTGATCACTTGAGGTAGGTAGAGTTTTGTCTATATGTGTATAATGTTGTTTGTGTAAACCAAATCTTGTATAGTTTGGAACCATGTGTAAAGCAGACACCTGTGTAAACCAGACTTTTAAGCAGGTCTCGGAGTATATGTAACTTTATACAATCAGGACACCTGTGTAAACCAGATTGTTTGTTAGGTGTCACTGCAGAAATTGTTATGTAAATTGAACTTATCTAATGTACACCAGATCTTCAAATAGATAATTCATACATTTCTATGTAAATTCATTTTGTTATGAACAGACATGTTAAGGGACACAAATTATTCATGAGTCTTGTTGGTTCAGGTTAAAATTGACAGATACCAATTTTCTGTGATAATTTCTCGATTTTGAGGCATTCAATTAAAGGTGTTTCTGCTCTAAATTCTTTTGATATCAGAAAACAGTTGCTAGTCAACGTTTTTATGTAGCTTGTCAAATTAGAAACAAAATACTAAAATAATGTCAACAAATTGAGAGCACCTCTCCACCAATGTGTACAAATTAAAGCACCATACTTTCTGTGTGATCTTAGTTTTCATACTAATTTGGAATAGTACCTCACCTGTACTACAGGACGGAACTATAGGTTTTTCAACCTGTCTGTCAGTTCCTGTGACACATTGTCACGGGCATAACCCAAATTCTCTGTCATCTACATTACTAAATTGTGTATGTAAATACATCTTGGGACTGATTTCTCATGTACAAGATTAGCTTCCCTCAACATTGTATGATAGATGCATGCATTCTGGCTACAGATTTGTGGGGAAGCCGCTGAACCTGGAGTGTATAGAGAAGACGGTGCCAACCCATTATAGTACAACAGTAGACCTTACTATTGGACTGTTTGAGGCTGTGGAATGTCTGTTTGACCGAAGGAATGAAAGCATGAAACCAGAGTACACAGAGGTTGGTTCATTTTGCTTTGTATTGTCTTTAGTTAAAACCAGAGCTTTGTCAAACTATCATCTAGATGACCAAATGGAAAATGCTTCCCTTTGTGTCCTGATTTTCTTTTTTGTTTCATTGATAATTTTATGATAGACCAAAAAGATTCGTGTATCATTCCTTCTGTGTTCTGTTGACTGCATCTGCATCTAAAACAGTGGAAGGTACATACAAAAAGTTAATATATATCTTCCAGGTAATGTATAGAAAAAATATAAACATTATTCAATTTACTACAGTTATAGAACAATTTATTTCAACTTAACTAAGCACTATTGTTGGCTGGGATGTTAGCGTGTTCGGGGTCTTAATGTGGGAGGAAACTGGAGTACCCAGAGAAAACCCATGTAGTCGGGCAGGTGTCCCAATACCGTTTTATGTCTAATGAGGGGAAATGAACCCTGGTCACCTTTGTGAAAGACAAGTTTGTTATCGACTGCACCACTCAACCACCCGCAATACCATCTTCAAGTAATATTCAGTCAGATGACAATGTTAGTAACATCATAATGTACATGCTTGTTAGATTATATACAGTGGAATCATGGTAGTCAGGACAGTTTGGCTCAAATTACACTTCCTTAAATAAGGATGTCTGGAAAGTGTTTACTCAGGTGTTAGGTAATGAATAAGCAGAATCAACAATATGTTGGTATGTTTAATGTAGTTCAGAAATATTTTATATAAATATTTTAGATAACAAGTCACAGCATGTTGTCACTGTTTGTTTGTTAGCTACTGTAGATTATCTGTTGATATCTGAATGCTATAAAATATACAAACATACATGTATGTGTGGCAGATTTTAATTGTACATAGGATTATGGTCACCCTCTAGCTGCGCCCTAGAGGGAATATCCCTTTAACTCAGTGGTAGAGCATCTGTGGAAGAAGTCAGGGATCATACATTATGGAGGCATGCGAAATATGATAAAGGGAGATAACTACTGCCGACTACATGCATTAACCATACATGCTACAGACATGTATGTAAACCCTTATGGAAATATCAAGGCTATGAAGTTGATAACTCATTTCAAAATTTGTTATTGTGTACATATCTCATTCATTTTATGCTCAAACTGGGTCCGTATTCATGAAACTGTTCTCATGCTCAAGCATGGATTTTGTGCTCAAACCAACTTTCTTGAAACTCTATTAATTCATGTCAAATGATCAAAACGTCAAATGTTAACATTGAAAACAGTATTTTGCCTTAAGTCTCTTCATTTTTTTACCAAATCATTGACGAAATAAGGCTTGTTTATACTTTTAAAGCGTAAACAAGAAATTGGGCTTGAGCACAAAATCCATGCTTGAGCATGAGAACGGTTTCATGAATACGGACCCTGATGTCCATCACTGTATTACAGTATATATGTATCATGGCTTCTAGGTAAACCTGTGCTGTATCGGTTAATGTTGATCAGTTCATTCTGGGCGCAAAGAGCATGGTTTATTGCTATAGAAGATATTATTCACATATAAAATTGACCTTATAAAATTCAAATTTGATCTTTCTTTGGTTATGCAAACTCTTATCTAGATTTTGGTCACCTATACAGCTACCCTCCTTCAATTGAATGCTACTTTATACGCATATGTTTATGTTCCTGCAACATGGTGGATGAGGCATTATTTGTGTTTTCTGTCGTTCTGGCAGCTGTCTGTATGACGTGTCGGTTATACTTTGTGTTAAGTTTTTACTCCCATACTCTTAACCCTTTCACCACTGTAGACCATAATGGACTCGCCCAGATCAATGCATGGTAGAGCCTACTAAAGTTACATAGGGGTGAAAGGGTTAATGCTAAGAGTTTGACAGTTATCAAACTTCATATATAGAAACACCTTGAGGAGTACTGCACTAATATATTAACAGTCAACACCGACATTCACTATGCAACCATTGTTATCATAAACTAGTGCTATCATCATATATTCTTACCATAGATCTGGACAAGCTTCCATGACGTTGACAGCATATTTGACCCATCTCATTCTACTACAGTCCTCCCTCCTTTATCAAAATGTTGGGCGCCTAAAGACACATGAGACCCTAAAACCACCTTCTATAGTTATAATAATCGTGTTTCAGACACAGATCTATGTAGATGCGGGCAGGGGGAAACTCCTTCCCATTATTTGATGCAGTGTAGACTCTTTAACGAAGCTAGAACGAACACTATAGGTACTTCAAATATTAATTAGGGCCCTATAGTGATGCCCTATAGTAATCACTCTGTCTGTCTGTCTGTCTGTCTGTCTGTCCGTCCACAAATTCTGTTCCTGGCTGATAACTTTGGTATTTATTGACCGATGTACATGAAACTTGTTCAGTTCACAAAAATACACATTGAGGTAAAAAATCAAGTTCAAAGGTCAAGTTCCTTAGGTTCAAATGTCAAGGTCAAATTTTACATCTTTTCACTGATGAATATTTTGTTATGACATTATGAAGCAAAGTTGATCAGAATTAAACAAGGAGTCAACTGACCAAAGGTCAGGGTCATCGGGTCAGGGGTCAAGGTCAAATTTTGTAGCTTTTCACTGGTTAATATTTCGCTATGACATTATGAAGCAAAGTTGTTCGGAATTAAACAAAGAAACACATTCAGGTTAAAAATCAAGGTCAAAGGTCAAGGTCATTAGATTCAACGGTCAAGGTCAAATTTGTATCTTTTCACTGATGAATATTTTGTTATGACATTATGAAGAAAAGTTGATCAGAATTAAACAAGGGGTCAACTGACCAAAGGTCAAGGTCATTAGGTTCAAATGTCAAGGTCAAATTTTACATCTTTTCACTAATGAACATTTTGTTATGATGTCAAGAAGCAAAGTTGGTCAGAATTAAAGAATAAGTCAACTGACCAAAGTTCGGGGTCACTGGGTTAATGATCAAGGTCATTTGGGTCCAAAGGTCAAAGACAAAGTGGATCTCTGACTTTGACCCTGGCTCTTGATGGAGGAGGTATATAAGGTGAAATAAAACAAATCAAAGCTAACAAATGAGTATTGCACCGGTATTAACATTTTTGTTAGCCCAGCAAAAATGGAGGTGGAAGGAAACAAGACTCACATCATAGTACATGTAAAATGTATATTTTGCTTCCTTCTGATTCTTTTTAAAGTCCAAATGTCAAACGTCAAGCTCAGATATATGGGCAGATTGCTCCTTGATGATAATAGGGGGTATATTGCCACAAGACAGGGCCCTTACTGACCTGTCAGTGTTCTAGTTTGAACCCTGAACGGTTAATTTATGGTGACCCAAATCTGTCTCAAGATGATAACATACTAATATTTGATCAGGTACAGAGGTACATTTTAGAGTCAGGTAGTTTCTAAGTGCTAGCTGGGACCTGTTCATGGTCTCTTCATTACTGTTTCCTTTCTTCTATCATACCTACCTATGTATTGTTTTTAATTTTTGGTTCATCACATAAAATGGTCAGTATTATCACAAACTGTTAATCTAAACAGTTTATGTGTATTAATTAAATGTATGTTGTAGTACTTCTTTAATATAATTACATCTCAAGGGAGATGGCTTTATATAAAATTTTAAATCTTGTGGCCAGATCCTATCAATATTTCTATTAACCTGTGTACTTCTTATATATGATATATGAAATAAATATTGTTGAAACCAAATAGTTATAAAATATTTAGTTGGTACCAAATGTAACAGGAAAGGAAAAATGCAATGGCCAGACCTGAGACTTTCAAAGTCCCTAGACTGACCCTTTTATAACCAATTAAGCTTGCTGGTCACTAGGGAACGACCCAGCCCAGTTCCACAGTGTTCCACCACCCTTCAACAAAATATTTGATACCGAAAACACAATACCCTATATACCACCTTCTATGGGTATATTAAGTTGGATGCAAAATGTAAAAGGAAAGAAAAACAGCCAGACCAGGATTCAAACCTGAGACTCCGAACTCTAGATGAACTGATCAGAATTACTGTTCTTCAAATATATAATTTGGTATTAATCTAAGCAGGCATTGCTGTCTCTATATCCACAGCAATAAAATATGAAATACATTGTGGTGCACCCTATATAAAAGCTGGGTGATTATATTTAAATTAAATATCTTTCCAGAATTTCCAGAACTTTTTCTTTATATAAAAAAATGTATAAAAATTAAATAACATCCTAAGAAGACAATTCCAGACATCAACTTTTCTTTGTGTTAAATAATGTTTTATGTTGTTTGAGTAAATTTTGATTGTATCCACAAGTTTTTCTGAGTGCAGCAAGATCAATTAGTTTAGTGGTGTATATATATCAAAAGCATCATAATCAGAATGGGCTGCTTTCATCATAGGATGCAACTAAATTCAAACTTTCTTTCCTTTCCCTGTAAAATTTCTTTTAGTCAGACACCAAATCTGGTAACCTCAGGTAAAATAGTATAGAAATTATGTCCTGGACAAACTTTTTTAAAAGGTTGAGGTCAAAGATCAAACAATATGTCAAAGTGACCTATTTCTTGTACATGACACTCTGCCATGCCAAGATGGATTTGCATACCAAATCTTGTTACTCCAGGTGAAATAGTATAAAGATATGCCCCGGACAAACTTTTCAGATGGAAGGAATTTGGATGGTCTTGCATTTTCCTTCTTGATACTTTCAAATAGTAACAAAGACTTGCTTGCAATGTATGTTCTTATGTTTAGTACACAGCTAGGAGTTTTAATGACAAAAAAGATGGGGGAAAGAATGATAAAATATCAGTGTAAATAGTTAAAATGTGAGTTCCAACATTAGGTGAGCATGCTTACCCAGGAATAATTTGAGGTAGCATCATAAATTGTAAATTCTGAAAGTATAAAATAAGATAAAAAGATGATGCATGGTATGTATGGATTGGAAAGCCTAATGAATTAATTAAGGGAAGGGCGGGGCAGTTTTCCCCAGTAACAGCTGCTGACATTCCCCTCTGATGACTGTACACATGTTGACACTAATGATGTAGTCCAATTTATTGATCTCTAGGTAAAATTTGCATATGAGCATCATAAGTATATGTATTCAGATATAAAGACTATGTGAAACAATACCATGACTGTTTAACAATGCTACAGGCCTTCTCTCCTGTGTTATTGGTATACTTATCGAATCTGAAAATATTGCAATCTTTTTTTTCTTACTCATTGTTACAATCTTAAGATATCAGTAATACATGCACACGTAACAGTCTTTTCCACAGAAGTATGAAAACTTGTGTGACTTACTTTCATATCCAATTCTAGCATACTAATCTATGTGAGAATTTTTAAGAAATTATCGTTACAAATATATTGCATTGGTTGTTGAAATTTTGAAGTCTTTTAGAAAGTCACCAAATTATTTTAAGTTCTTTCCATATTTTGTTTTGCCTTTTTTTCAAATGCATGGTTCAAAAATATATTTACAGTTGGTACTGACTATACAAAACACTGTTTATCATATACATTACTGCTTAAAATAATTGAAACCTGTGTTTGACTGGGATTTTATGATAAGCTTGTTTACCTTTACATATATATCAATCATTTGTACAAAGTACGTGGCATGTGTCATCAAGTTAAAAATAGTCATTGAATCATCTTGCTATCATATCAGTATTAGGCAGGGGTCAAGGTGCTGGTAAAACCCCTATTGTAAGATTTAGAAACAGTAGGACCAGCTGTTGTATTGAGGTCAGCTCCACACATGACTCATGGGAACCGTTTACCAGTAGCCATGGTTACCAGTATGTTGACATACATAATCGCTAGTTTCACACCTGGTCGGCATGGTTTTATCAGTAATACAAATATTGGGTGACTGATTACACAGGTCATGAATTAGGATTTATCAGATAAATATCAAGTCAGTCTGTAATGAAGAAGTATTTATGAAAAAAATATATGACCAGCACAGCAGCTGGTGGGGCTGTATTGATATGAGTGGATCAATGGGAAACTGACATTAGGTATCAACACGTACAATAGGAGTTATGTATAGCATGGCAGCATATCGGTCAATACATCATAGGTGTTCTGTACACCAGTTTATATAGCAGTCTCCATCAGTTCTATTTAAATCAATGAAACCTTAATATGACATACTGTTGTTATTTTTGTCAAAATATACCGGCTATATCATCTAAGCTTGAAATTGCAGAGATGATGTGGCTGTTTTGTTGTCAAACTGTAAAGATGATGCAAATATTCTTCAAAGCTTGTGTTTCTGAAAATGTGTTCAGAGGGAAATTTACTCTTGTGACAGTTTGAGACACTGACACCTACATATGTAAATGATATCACAACATCCCTCTGGTCATCACCCTCTAGTGAGGGAGACGACCATAATAAATATTAAGTTTTATAGGCAGACACTTGTGCGACATGACATATCTAATAGTTGATTTATATTTTTATAATGAAATATAAACAAACCGTTCTGAGTCTGTGAATTGTCTTGAGAGTTTTGAAGTACTCAACTACAAAACATGTATGATATTTATTTCACTAAGTTTATTGCTTTCAAGAAAATCATTATTATTCATTTATTTAATTACGACTAACTGATCAAAGAATGATTATTCATTGAAAAAAAATGTCAGCCTGTTACTACAACAGGAATTTCAAATATTCTGTGACTGACGTATGACTAATTTTTCCAGCAAAAGCTGATTCTTATGTCATATCTCGTTGTTCCGATGACGTCATTGTATTGTTTCCTTTGATGTCATATCTGTCATACCTGAAGGGGTTACGGAGAAATCATAACTTTGGGGTGACAGAGAAATCATACCTTAGTGGATTACAGGTTAATCAAACCCTAAGGGGTGACAAAGCAATCATGAAGAGGTAAAACAGGACACAATTCTGTGAACGGAGGCCGGGGGAAAGGAAGGTACATGTGTAGTATCTTTTTGGGGGATCAGAGTCCAAGTATTGGTACTCTCATCCTTAAGGTACCCAAGTTACTGCATAACACAAGATAAAGAAAACATCTCAAGCATTCTGATGTCATAAACAAATTCTGCTGATTAAATGTGTAGTGGGAAATTAATTTTATTTCATTATCTGTGATGTATCATCTATGTATCAAATGCTATAATTTTCCAGTTAACTAAGGTTTTACAGCATGTTTCTAGAAATCGTCGGTGCTCACCCACCTGTGATTACTAAAATCTCCAGAGATATACATGTAAGTTTATTCATCATAATACGGATATACACATACCCCGTATGTCCCTTGACCTATGAAGTAATAGTAAGACTCTGTATGGCGGATGAGTCAACATGGGTTCTGGGTAGTCCCACCAATCTGGGTGTGTGCTGGGTCTGTAACTGTGGTCAGATGTGTTACTGCCTTACATACCTTTTGTACCTGTGGTATCAAGTCATACACAGGTAAACATCTTACCCACACTGTAATGTTGAAGTTCAGACACGGTTCCGGTAAAGTGGTTTGTTTACATTTTGTGTTGTAAGTGAAATTAGTGGTAAGCACCTGTAAACATTCACTCCTACCTCGAAAGCTTCACCTACTTTATGTAGAATTTCATTACTGGTATATTTGTTTATTAATTCACATTTCTCATAAAATTGATGAATGAGGATAAAAGTGAAAATTTCATGGCGAGAAATCAATTCAGATTGGAACTTTTTTCAGGATTTGTATTCCATTTTTGAAATGAGAAACTGATGTAGTAATGATTTACATCATTGCCAGATGAGATACAGGCAGTACACAGGAGAATGCCCCTAGGATAGAAAAACTGTGCTGATTCTTATCACAAATACACGAATACAATTTCTGATAGCTCTAATCTCTCTGATCATTTACACACATTAAATGCTGGCAACAAGAAATTCTGTGTAATTGATGGGAAATTCATTTTTTTGTATCCTCTTGTTTGATGAGATGTCTGTTTAAATGCCTATAATATTTCTCTGAGGGAGACGTTTTTTGGTATCATCTTGAAATATGTCTGTTATGGTATGTTACCTTTGTTGACCTGTTGCATGTCGCTGTCAAGATTGTAACTCACAAACTTAAATGCGTCATCATGCTTCATTTATGAGCCCAGGTAATCACACAGGTGTGTTAGCTAGCTCGAGGTTTAAACTAAATAAATACACTTCTCTGGAAAAGTTTATGGTCTGATCTCATTGTCAAGTATTCACAAGTATTAACAGAAGTGTGTTAAGTCGTTTCCTGTCGTTACAATATACACATGTAAAAGCGTTTTTTTCTTTGATATTCTCTCTAATATTGTTTAACTGCAACAAGTTTATATTTCTCATGGGATATTCTTATGTCAATGAAAGAAATAATACCAGACATACAGTAGATGTTTAAAAAATCCTGATTTGTCTTGATGGCATATACTGTTACTCCCAAAATGTGCAGTACCTGGGCAGGTTTAGACATATATACTGCAAGCATAGTCGTATTTAGCACTTTTCACAATGTATAGATCCCTAGATATAAAATCACAGTATATATATATTCCAGCATGTTATCTTGACAGATGGAGCATTAAGTGAGCTACTATAAGTAGGTGTGTATTTATGAAAGTGAAAGTACAAAGTGTACGCTTCAATTTCAGAATCATGGATTTAGTACGCTTCAATTTCAGAATCATGGATTTAGTATACTTCAATTTCAGAATCATGGATTTAGAAAGCATCAATTTCAGAATCATGGATTTAGAAAGTTCACAAATCTATAATAAGTAAAGATGTCACACTTCTGATATCGTGACAGGGTTCTATTTCTGTGGTTATAAAATCATTCACCGAATAAAGTGAAACCTGTCAAGACCAGACCTTCATCACTGCAGTCCAAATTTTACACCATAGTCTAGATTTCTATGTGAATTGAACAAGACCTTGATCTGGGTCCAGCTGGTGCATTGTAGCTTTAATTTATGCGCAGATTCAACAAGTTAGAAACCTATCTGTTTCAGACCTTATAGTGAAACCTGAATGTCTACAGTTAGATCTTCATCTCAGTCAAATAGAGTTTTTATGTGAATTGTTCACTGTCCAACTGCTATCACCAGAGATTTAGATGTAAAGTGAACATTGTGAAGTCCGAAAATCTGTCTATAATGAAAAGAATCATTGTCCTTGTTCTGCTTTTTATTGACCAGACAGATTTCGCTGTCATCGAGCAGACAGATTTCACTGACACTAGCGACATGACAGAAAGCACCGTGTTCGACCTCAGTCTAGCTAATGACCCCACAGTCACAATCACAGCTTGAACTATATGTACAGGTAAACAGGGATGTAGCATTTACCTGACATACATGTACTTCATCACAGGTAATGGTCAAGGCACAGGTGACTTAATTAAGTAGCAAACGGTCCAGCTGGATTTGTACCTATAAATATCTCGGATGTGACCCGTTATAAGCTAGTAGTGGATGTAAATTACCAGTGTAATTGGACATTTTATGACCTGGGATAGGTCTCTTCTCATTAGTTAACCACCGACTCTAGGGATTTCTCCGGAAATACATGCTTTCTGACAAATTTCATGAATTAAACTGAAGGATTCATTGATACTTGTGGTTTGAATGACTTAAAGTGTGTACACAGCTCAGGATGTAATGGGTGGCTTGTAGTGGGGATTTAGGCATGCATCCAACTGTTCAAACCAACCCATTATACAAATACACCAGTGTCATGAGTCCAAGATTATGACCCAGATGGTACCCATATCTTATATCTGTGTAGTAAAGAAAGAAAAAAAACTAATTTCCATACTTTTTTATACCGTTTATTTATCATGTACTAAAAATTCATAGAATTTAAATATAAAAAGGATCACAATATAAAGTGGATGACATATAATTTCCATATACCGTATGTCCATGTCTTCCAATTCAGATAAATTATGAAGTAATGATAAACATTTACAATGGGTATTACTGTCAGTGTGTCAGCCACATCAAATACAATGATGGGGGAAATGACATGTAAATATCTTGTTAACACCTTCGCTTTTCTCTTACCGATTAATTGTCAATGTAAACTATTTGTATTGGAAAGATAATTGTAAGATTAATGAGATTACATATTGGAAAATCATTGATTTTTTTGCTATCCTTAAATATACAGTAATTAATCAATTCAGTCCAAGTTACTCAGGATACAAATAAGAAACATGATTGGAAAGTATCAAAATATTTTAAAAAGAATTTTTTAAATGTAGTTCTTCGATATGTCTGTTTAAATACAAACTCTCAGGTAGATTTATTATTATGACATGTACATATTAAGTATAAACCTTACCATGCTATATATATACCTGCAAAAATGACAGGGGACTGGAACATGATCCTTTGAAGATGAATAGGGTATAATTTACAAGCAGATACTGTACATGTAATTGTAGGTTTATTCATTTAAGGTAGAGAGCCTAGTGCTCAGTTTTGTATCTTGAACAAAGAAGAGTTCCGGCGTGTATGACATTTTATTTTTACTTGGAGTTGCTTTCATAGTATAGCAAAGCATAATATATAGAACAAATACAGTGTACATAATATATAGAACAAATACAGTGTACATAGTTTTCTTTTTCACAAAAAAACACCTCTTGTCACATTATTTTGGTACCAAGAGCCTTTATTATAAAGTAGGGATGTTAATTATCCACTGTGCTATTTAAGGTTGTGATATTTGTCATGCTGATACTTTCTGCAATGTTATTGGTAATAAATTCAAAACTCCCTAAGGAGAACTTTAACCTGTAACTGTAACTCTTGTATAAGTATACAGAAAAAAGCATGAATTAACTAAAGTAGCTTTACAGAATCTCTCTACCTTAATTACAATAGTTTCACTGTTTAGTGTTATAAATTACAATGCAACAAGTAATTAACGAGTATAACACGCCTGGTAAATGAATTAACGAGTATAACACACCTGGTAAATGAATTAACGAGTATAACACACCTGGTAAATGAATTAACAAGTATAACAACTCATGTCAAATCTACATTTGGTTTCAAGTAGTGTTTAACTGTGCATAAACAATACACACACATCTACGTAAAAATACATAGGAAGGTTAAGTTAACACTATGTTAATGTCTTAAATAACAATTGATGTAGTTTGAATGGTTTGTCATGTATCATAGCTCATATCATACATGCATCTCAAGCAACAAGTTTCCTAATAAGGTTCGTAATCAGGTCGTTAATATAAGTCACATTGGAGCGTTATTGTAAGGTAACGAAAAAGAGTGAACTATTTCATTGTTTACATGCATTTTGCAAGTTTTTGTGGGGTGGCAAGGAGGGAAGCTGTAAAGCTCAGTTAAGGTATAAATCAATGTTAATTATCTATTAGCACATGAACCTTTCACAACCACTTACAAAACCTGATTTATATCACAATTGACCTGGTGTAGAGTCACATGTATGTATACATATTTATATTTGGATCATACATGATAAAGCAATTTTAATAATAATATTCAACAGGACAAACATACACATATTATGATTTACCTGTACACTGTACATGTTTATGAGTCCATACCTTGGACTGGTAATTGTTTATTTCAGTACTGTTGATATGTTCTTACATCCAGTTATAAATTGCCATAGCTAAGGGCTACATGAGTTTTCACTGCTTCTCGTCATACAATTGGTATGTATAACCTTGTCTCTACAATCTAACACATTTTATAAGTAGAAATTATGCCTAGCTTTGAAAGTTTGTAATACATTGCCATATTGTTGTGTGAATTGATATTTATCCCAGGGTTCCCATTCTATAAATTAACTAATTGAAATGTTGTGCTGGTAATTCTAGAGTTATTTTACATTAAGAAATCATCTGCCATGTCCTAACACCTACATGATGGTGGTTCCATGCCAACTGTCTACCAATGACTGTAGCTGTGATAGAGACCTATTGCGTTCTATAGGTGTAAACCTGTTGGTCACAGCCCACCCCAGGCGATTCCCACAGGGCAGCAGCTGTCTGGTCATTGACAGACCTACCTGTGTGTGACCAATCAATTAACATGTAAATATGGCATACAAATAATAATATACATGTATGTAATCAAACAGATTGAAAGCTGATTTTACAGATATCATAATAACCATGCACAGTACATCATACAAAATATCTTGGCCTTGTAAACAATTTACTGGCAACAAGTACTGTGTAGGTATATGTTAAAGGTGTTCTAATTCAATCTGAATATATATATAGGTACCTGGTGTACAGTACATTTCTGTAATGGTTTTGTGAATCTTTGTCAGGGAATGAAATATGTGGCAAAAATAATATCAACAGCAACAACACATATTAAGATGATGTGGACATATTGAATTCCAAAAATATTATTTTCAGGGAATATATAAAAAAATATTTCTATTTGATATCAATACACAGTGCTGGACATCAATAAACTTGACCGTTACAGTTAACTTGACCGTTACAGTTAACAAAGATCTGCCATTTTGTCCACATGTTAGTTTTACATGTAACTGTGATTCTCAAGATATTTTCTACTTTCAATTTCGTTGCTTGTAAGTATACTTTGGAGAAAAAAAAGGGTACAAGTTTTCAGTTTTTTAACTCATTCTTTCTGTGCATAAGAGTTACAACTGTTCATCATAAACAGATATATTGAAAAATCTTGTCTGCAATGTATAAAATAACATCTTGATAGTAGAACACTTCAACACTTGGATGGACTGATATAAAGGCACATTTTCAAACTGTATTTTAGGATTTTCATTGATGTTCAATGCATGCGTGAATACTATATAACAAGTCAAGGTATAAAATGTAACCAACAAAGTAAGAATGGATTAATATCATAATTTTTAAAGAGTATTTCATCTCTTCAAATATAGCAGGCATGTACGTTCCTGTACATATATATAACTTCATAGCTCAATACACGAGAAAGCTGTCTCACCTCTGTTTTAGGATGTACTGTTATTTTGATTTTTAAATATTTGTTAATGTCACATATACCTCATGTTTCTGATTTACTCAGCAACACAAGTTAAACACTAACTTGTTTGAGTTCAACTTTTGTACAGTGCTTATTTACATAATATATTAAACAATAGATGTAAATATTTCTGAATATATTTAACTTTATATTCACATGTATACACAAAGTCACCAGATAGAAATAAAGCTCTCATATAGATCAATATCATTGTTATAGCACTAATATATGGATATTTACACATAAAACAGTTTCAGCTTTCTGAGATCACATATGTACAAGTGTTGTACATGTATATACGAATGATGTGCCCTGCACATGGTTAGATATAGCCTGGCATATAATACCTATGACTGCAGACTGTCAACAGAAATTTTGTCAAAGAACCAAATTTGTCAAATTATCTCCTGATAATATATTCTCGGTATATATTTTTTAAATTATAACATTTTCATGTTTTCATCTGAAGTAACTTTTGTTGATTTTTTTGATTTTTTTTTATCAATTTCAGTTATTTGGAACAGCATTTTCATTGTTTTTACTTATGAAAGGTTTCTGTAAAGTGATTTTAGTATTTAAACAATACATTAAACATACAACAGCACATCCGAATAACTATCACAGGTTTTTATAGATATCATAATAATGACATCTTTGAGAACTAAATGTTCTATATTACGTACATCTAAGTATTTGATGGCCAGACCATGTAACGATTAAGTTTAGGACAGTTGGAGAATGGGGAGGGCACATATTAATGTAATCTGTAGTTCCCAGTGAAAACACCAATGTAATCCATAGTTCCCTGTTAATGTCCCTTAATGTACCTGTTAGGGTACAGCTGGGGTATGCACCACTGTAATCTATAGTACTTCATGAATGTCTCCCACTGTACCTGTTATGGTACACATAGGGTACAAACCAACCTAATCCATGGTTCTCTGTTAATGTCTCCCACTGTACCTTTTATGGTACACATAGGGTACAAACCAACCTAATCCACGGTTCCCTGTTAATGTCTCCCACTGTACCTGTTATGGTACACATAGGGTACAAACCAACCTTATCCACGGTTCCCTGTGAAACACCTACTGTACCATTTAGGGTACAAACAGGGAACACACCAGTGTAAGTAGGGTTCCTTCAATGCAATCCATATAGTTCCTCGTGAACCCACCAATGTAATCCATATAGTTCCTCGTGAACCTCGTTAACCCACCAATGTAATCCATTCCTCATGAATACTGCATACTGTATCAGTAAGGGTACAAATACTGGGTACATTTCAGTGTAATCCATACAAATAGGGCACACACCAATGAATCATAGGTTCTCTACCCGAGGAAGTGGAATAGCACATTTTACGCTGACAACGATAACGCTTCTTCACATTTCCATTGGTTCATCCCTGGATGAGATTATGTATATTCTGGATGAAGTTATGTATATCCATATATGGAAGGAATGTGATGTCCCTGATAGAATATGTACACTTTCAGATAATCCACAGGAAGTATCCAGATACATGCTATCTCTTGTAGATATTTGTAGATAAAAGTCTGCTAGCTAGTATATAAATATATATATACTGGAAATCTTACTACTCCAGTGATGCTCGAAGAGTCACAAGTATAGGGCGAGTACAAGGACTTGGTTACTGTCAGTCTAGCGGAGATAGCCAGCCATTGTAGTACACATGCCATCACAGCATCAAAACAGCACCAGATTCCACACCTGGTGGGCCCCGTTTAAAGCTCTCGAGTAAGTAGACACTTTCAACACCCTGTCCATTTTCAGATAGGGATTTCATGGTATACATTTGGGGTTGCTGGTGAAGTTGGAGAATTAGGTTGCATTTCAGATTTAAAACCTTTATTTGTAAATCCGGATTCATCTTTTTGTGGTTCCGTAGGTAGTGGTCGCTTATCTATATCGTTTGTGTATACACTTCTGCTTCCCTTTGGGGGTTGTGGGGCGTTCGTGTAAGAATGTTTATTTTTTGAAGGAGGGTTTGGGGAGCTGTTATAGCCAACGTTAGCGTATTTATGTTTACTTGGTGGCACATAATCAAGACTCGATCCATTAGCACCAGCCCTTTTGTTGAATGGGATAGGCTGTAGTGTCACTTGTCCTTCATTTAGAAACTGATAACTTCCTCCCGATATACGACTGGCATCGTCTTGGTCCATTTTGCCGCTGGAGATCACCTGAATGTCCTTTCCTCCTCCATTTTGTGCAGGCTTGCTTTTTACGAAGCGTCTGGCATGATCTGTTGTTGGGAAGCCGGCAGTGCTGAAGGATGTTTGTTGTACAGTTGGCAGTGGCTGCTTTGGACTTCCCTTCCTGATAAATAGAATATACAGGATGGCAACAATGATCACCACAGCCACCACACATCCTACCACAGCCCCAGCTATAACTCCACCATTGGGCCCAGTATCATCTGTCTTACCTCCTGGCCCAACCATCGACTCTATTTTTGTGTTGGCAATATCACATTTAATCACAATCCCAGAAACCGTCAGGAGTACTTTTAGACACACTTCGTACTTGTTATCAGCTTGGAGGCCTTCAATGGTGAGTTCTCTCATGGATGAGTCCAGTGGTACCTCGACTTGACTGTTTATAGTACCAAACTTGTAGTAGGTCAAGGAAAAACCAGTGACCAGGGGTGAATTACTTATGATCCATGTCAGTTTCATGGTAGTCGTTGTCGTGCTAGCAATGCCAGCCGTCAGGGTGGGTAGATCCATAAGTGTAGTAATGTCATGACAACTCTCAACAGGAGCTCGAGTGATATCTGTGAGGACGACATGAACACACACCCTGTAGGAAGTATCAGGAGACAGTGATGTAATGGTGTATGACTGTCGATTCTTGTCAGAGAGTGGGATTTCTTGGGTGACTCCTGCACTTGTATAGCTTACCCTAAACCCAGAGATCAGCTGCAGGTCATTGATGTTCCAGGATATGGCAATGCTGTCCTTTGTATTCTCAGTAATGATAGAGGTCAGGGTTGGGAGGGGAAGGGTGGGGACAGGTGTTGTTGTTGGAGGTGGTGCTGGGGTTGTTGTGACTGATAAATCGGGACAGGTCGGAGCCACATACCCGGCACAACCTAAATCCGTGTCATTGAGGTCAAACAGATTCCTGTTGACTAGGCTGGCTGGAGTAACACACAGCACATCATTTCTGTAGGAATCGGGTGGAGGACTGTTATTTAAGTCTTTCAACCACTTCATAGTACAGTTACAGTGGGTAGGGTTGTCATTGAGATACAGCAGCGAGAGAGCATTGAAGCCTTTTAACACACACTCATCTATGGAAGGTATGCGGTTGTGCTGGAGGTCAAGTGTTTGCAGTACATCTTGCAGTCCATGAAGTGTTTCTTGTTGTACAACACTTATTTGGTTATTACTCAAGTCAAGGTAAAAAAGGTGCACGTGATCACTGAACACAAGATGTGGAATAGCTGTAAGACCAGAGCCATGTAGAACTAGCTGGGTCAGCCTTGTCAGTGTTTTGATAGCCTTCCAAGCCTCGTCCTGCATCAACAAGGTCTGCATGAGGTTCAGTCTCTCCAGTGAGTTTTCCAGGCCTCTTACAGAAGCAGTGGTAAAATTGATTCGCTGAGACGGATTGATACTATTGAAGTGTTCCATGTCCAACTGCTTCAGTGTGGGAACCTGAGAGAAAGACCCATCTTCTATAGCTGCAATAGGATTGTAGTTTAGATCTATTTGATGAATGCTTGGTAAGGCTGTAAAATATGTTGTTTTGATTGTTGTGAGCTTGTTATCATTCAGATTCAAGTAAGCTAAAGACTGCATTTTTAAAAAGAATCCAGTTGGTATATCAGTCACCATGTTGTTTGCAATGTTGAGTTGTTCAAGCACCGTCCAGTTTTGTGTGTAGATAGGTTGTAGCTGGGTCTGGTCAAGCTTATTTAGGAATAAGCTGAGGAACTCTAATTTGGAATACAGTCCTTTGAAACAGTCCGTCCCCAGGGTGGTGATTTCATTGTGGGACAGGTCTAACACGACAAGATTTGTAAGTGTCTCAAATGAAGCAAAGGCAACGTAAGATATGTTGTTCTGTTGCAGGGTTAAGTGATTCAATGTTGTAAGGAACCGCAATGCAGACACAGGAACATTCCCCATCATCGTATTCCCTACTATTTCCAATTTTTTTAGTACAGGAAATTTGTCCTGAAATCCATTTTCTAAAATGCTCTGTATTTTCATTGTTTGAAGCTTCAATGCATTTAACTTTGTTAGCCTAGGAAAAGTGTTTTGGTCAATGGTTGTTAAACGGAAGTACCTCAAGTCTAACTCCAAAAGTTCCACCAAGCTCGTGAGAAAAGTGTAAGAGAGGCTCGGGGGATTAGTTGCTGTTTTGTCTCCTCCAAGCTTAAGTATGGTCAGCGAAGACTCCAATCCTTGAAATGCATTATCAGAAATCTGTGCAAGTCTGTTGTCTGATAAATCCAACACATTGACAGTTATATTTGAGAATGCTCCATTTGGGATGGAGGTGATCATGTTCCCCGCCAAAGTCAGTTCATAAAAGGCTTCGGGGACTGTTGATACCATTATATTTGGTACCTCTATGAAACCTTTATTTCGACAGTCAATAACCTGTAGTGCTGGGTTCTCTTTGCTCGGTGAACAGGAACAGAGACTGATGGGACACTGAGCCTCCACGGTCGCCATGCTTACCATCAGTAACAACAACGTGGCAGTCTCTAGAGCTAGCATTTTTGTTCGGAACTATTTCTGTGGTGCTTTCTTCAGTTTTCTTTTCTTTGATTTCCTACAACAACAAGATACAGAAAGTATTACATGCATGCTTATCAGTTACTTATTAAACAATGATGGCATTGTTAATGTTGATATAGGATGTTATATGTATTCAACTTGTGTAAGTAGAATTTTTAGGGGGAAGAGGTGGGGATGGGTGTGTCAGTGATATTCACATTTTTCTTGTTTATGTTTGCAGACACATATCATATAGCATGTATATTGTGATATTTTCAACCAATAATGATATAATACATAGAATAGGGTTGTTCATTATCCTTACACGAGTCCAATTATAGCACCCATGGAGAGAAACAGCATGGCAGAAACACAAATATTTCTAGAAAGTAATAACTTCATTGACCCCAGAGTATTTTACAAAACAGAAATGTAAAATGTCAGGGTTTTAGTTGTTTTATGAACTTAATTGAAGGAAGGTGTAATAAATTCTGCTTCTTTCAAAATAGGGATACTAATGTCAAGTTTAATGTAAAAGGAAACAGTTTACAATGTTCAGCTTATATTGTTAACTTCACTTAGTTATCCTAATCTCAGAGAGAACAGCCAAAAACTGGATTAGAACCAGGGAGTATTTACATATTAATATGCCTTTAATCACACTATGTGATTTGGCTCACAGACACTTTGTATAATTTTTAATGTTTTTTTTTATTGATGACACATTGATACTTCTTTTACTTTCATCTGATACAATAATGGCATTTCAGATTGCTGTGATGAAAAACAATGGAGGGGTGGGGCTGACATTTTTGTTCTAAAGTGCAGAAATAAATCTAAGGCTGGTATCGATTACAAAGAGTTAGGTATATTGAGTCTTTTTTCGTTATTGAAGTTTACCAATAAACAGTGAAAACATCAAATATGTGATAAATATTCGAAAATATATTTCGGAAATTAATATAAAAATTACGAAATAAACATCCACACATGTTCAGGTTGATGGGTGTATAGATCGTTATCCTTAAATTGGTGGTTTTTGATTTAAAAAACAAGCACACATTTTTTTGAAACTGTAATTTTGACCTTCGTGTTTGAAGTATTCAATCATGAGGATTATAGTGCTATTTCAGACTTTCTCTTGGTGTATACAATGATATACCATACATAATTGACATACCTATCTCAATGGTGAATTTCATTATAATAATCTCCCTACTACCCTCTACCATTTTGTAAAGAGTAAACAGTTCCAAGTAAATGGACTTCTGTTACACGTATACAAATAGGTTCACTGTCACATAAGTGAAACTTAGAATTCTTTCTCTTGTCTGACTCTCCAGCATTCCAAACAATAACAATGATAAAGATGTAAATTTATATAGAAATGGAAAACTAGTTTGTCAGGTATGATGCATATACCCTTAGGTATTTACCAATTTTCAAAACAATTTTGAATTAAGATTCTACAAGAAGTTAAACTGGCACACCTTTCTAAGACTTTTTCAAAGTTGCGATAGATTTTCTTTTTAAATAGGTATCACTTCACAGCCTAGGTCCTCACCTGAAAGTTTTATCTTGTCATTTCTCCATCTTCATACTGTTGGGTTTTGTTCATACTCTTGCAGGTACAACATATTACCAGTTATTGAAAGTCTTTAGTTCTATGTAAACACACCTTCCAGGTATAGTACTGTTACATCCCAATCCAACAGGTGAGTCATGTGAAATACCTGTAACACACAACATACAATATGGCGGGTCTATTCAGCTGGGCTGTCCTAGTTTACCTGTGCAGGTAAAATAATCACTCCCTGTAAATGCATGCGCATGAAAGTCAGTAGGTGATCATTGACTCAGAACGTGTCATTTTAACTTTATTGATTATTTATCAATAGTATCATTGCCCTCACCAGGGTATCTATCTTCTGCAAAAGACACATGATAATAATTTTTAACTGGACATTTATATAAATGCAGATGACTGATAAAATTGGCAAAGTTTCAAAATTTACTAAAGGTAACTTTGTTATTTAGATAAGAGAAGACTTGTTGTCAGGGTATATTGCTATGTCATTGTATTAACAAGCAGAAGCTGTTTCAGGATTTAGTGTGTGCATGAAATATTAAATATAACATTGTACCTTTGTTCATTGGGAAGTTCTGATTGTTGATATGAATTGTACAGTATTAGTCAACCTTTTAAATTAACTATAGGTATTTGGCAATAGTTTAAGGTGTACTGATTTAAGGTAGTTAATTGTATCATACAAAAGCAAGATGAAAAGATTGATGCCAATTTCTTTAGTGAAAATTAAGCATTAAAAGCTAGGTGTATGAATTTCCCTACAAAATAAGGAGACTGGGCATGTATATAATTATGTTCAATACATTCCCTTGCTTCATTTTTGCACTTAGTCTAGTAAGTTTGATTTGTAAATAATTACCTGTGATGCATTATGCTTAGATTGGTGTGAAAAGTCTTTGAAAATATTTTAGCATTCTTAATTGTTTTATTTACAATTATGACTGAATTACTAATTATATATATATAATTCTGAATTTGTTTTATCTTCAATATTTGAAGTGAAAGCTTGATGTAATTTGTGAGAATTAATATATACTATATATAGCCATACCGGATGCATTGAAATTCCAGCTATTTCCAAACCATGGTTTACAGTTTACAGGGAGTGAGACTAATCCATTGATGTTATCACAATACTGTGTGTCGAGACCAAGTGGGAGGTGCCTGGAATTGCCGCGCCCATTCAGGTGTAAATAAACAACAATCCTGTCAGTGAAATCTGTTCACTTAAGTCCTTAAACAAGCCTTTCTATCTAGATGTGGTTATTGTTTGGTCTGTCCAGTTGTGGTCATTGTATGGTCTGGGTAGAGTACTTCTTTTCACTCTCATGTTGTCCTCTGGCAGGGAGAGAAGTGGTGACACCTGCAATACAAGTCTAAAACAGGAGAAGATTTGGTTACTCATGATCCTCCAGGACTGTTTGTATGTACAAGTGTTCTGAGAATTAGAGAGTGACAGCTTGTGCTACAGTGAGATTATAGGTGACATGAATAGAAATACTGAAATAAAATATAAAACATATGACACAAAAGTAAGAGTAATACATAAATCTAGTACGTCAATCATCCAGCAGGGCTGACTACAGTTGTGGTTTACACTGATGAATACAAGTATCCTGTTAGTCATGTGTTACAGGTTATTAAGATCCAGCTGAACAAGGATATGGACTTGGTAAAGTGTTGGTCAGTCATGACAATGCCTGTAACTCACTGACATTAAATTTTGTCATTGACTCTGTTAACATTTAACTTGTTTTAAACCTTACATTGTTAGACACTAACATATTGTCACTGACCTGGTCAATTTGAAATTGCTGAGGAAATAGATTTAGTGATGAGAACTCGGAAGTATCCACTTTCAGTACTATAGTCCTTATGGTCATTTACTTACAATATGTATATGGTACTCGCCATCAGATTAGATGAAGATTTACTTTCCAGTGGCGGATCCAGAGACCTATCTGGGAGGGTTTCCAAATTTTCAGGGGGGTTTCCATGTGGGGAAATTGGTAAAATACATCATTTTTAAAGAAAATGTTCAGGGGTTTTTTTTCCTGAAGCCCCCAAAAATCCGCCACTGTCAGTTTCTATGTACATGTAATGTACAAAATTGTTTTCCATAACCGAGGGGTGTGTCATGAACTTGCTCCATGGTCATTTCACCTAGGTCAATGTCATGGGGCATCAACATCTTCAGACTATTCACAATGTCATGTTCAACACATTACTTGATTCTTTCTTGAATCTGTGTCTAACATAAGAGGATTGTTGTACATAATCGAACAGTGTGTCATGACCTTGACCTAAGGTCAGAGAGTATCAACATCTTTAAATGTGTGAAGGCTTTAATTTTAAGCGTTTTGCTGATAGTGACCCATATGTTGGTTCCACGTTTACCTTATGGTCATATCTCCAAGGACAAGGTTGTGAAGCTTTAGCATCTGATGATCTTGGAGCTGTGTCTGGGCCATATCATTTTGCACCATTTTTCTTTTCATATGCGCATGAGCAACACTTGGAACAGTATAATTCAGTCTCAGTATAATTATTGCCATATTATAAGACATATCCATGTCAAACTTTTTGACACATGGAACTAAGGTTGTTTTTCCTATACTTCTATATATATAATGTTTACCTTTATCTATATATACATCATTATTAATGTTTTGATTAATGTTCTATCAGATGTTTACCTGTATGGTTGTTTAGGATGTTTACGGTATACCAGTGTATAGGCTAGTGTTAGGTTATGTACCCAGTGTAGGTGTAAAACTTTGTTGTCCAAAGCTAGCGTGATACTGTCTGTGTGTATGACACTTCAAACAGACCTGTTACATATCCAATAACATCCTTCCATCTACAATGGTAGCCTGTCCTTTTGTACCTGTGATAAAGGCACTTTCTGAGCCATCTATGTTCAAGGTAAAAGATGGGAATTCAACCATGGTGTTAATTCATGCTTTTACAAGGACAGGAAATGTGATACGTTAGAAATACAATGTCTGAAAAAAGATTTGTATATTTTTTTCAAATATGGATACTTTGGGTGTTGTAAAACATTGCATTTCATACCACACCTGGAATTGTGAGAAACTAAATGATCACATTGATGAGCAATGGTCTATACTTCAGAAGTTTATAATAGAGATGATTCACAGCCGTTATGATAAAATACCTAAATAAGGTAAAACACTAAATCTGTGATGTAATAGTAGAATGAGGAATTCTATTGAGGCTAGGAAGAGACGTGAGGTGTTCATACACATCTGTATGTGTAGGTAATAGTATGGTTCTGTATCTAACACAGAGCTTTACCTGTCTCTACCTGTTCTTATAACCAGTGTTACCCTAATTAAACTTTCATCTCTAACATTGCAAAGATTTATTTATTAATTGGAATGTGGTAAGTAAGAAATATAAATAAGCTCTCTTGTCATACTTCAGTACTAATTTCTTATCTTTTTGCATGTAACTTATTAGGAATAAGGGGCTGACAATATCGGGAACACATCTAACACAATATTAGGGTCATCACGAACATCTTATGCACCACATGTAATGGGACATGTTACTGCACTGCTTCACTGGAGACGCACAACACAGATCAGTATTCATGTCAAATTAGGTTAGTGCGCTGTGAAAATACAATTTATTTCAAATAAAACCACATGTTTTAATTAGGGCCCCGTATCAGATATATGGGTGCCCTATACTTTGCACTCTGTCTGTATGTCTGTCTGTCTGTCTGTCTGTCCGTCCACAAATTTTGTTCCTGGCTGATAACTATGGTATTTATTGACAGACGTACATGAAACTTGGTCAAGATGTTCAGTTCACATAAATACACATTGAGATAAAAAGTCAAGGTCAAAGGTCAAGGTCATTAGGTCCAAAGGTCAAGGTCAAATTTTGCATCTTTTCACTGATGAACATTTTGTTATGACATGATGAAGCAAAGTTATTATGAATTAAACAAAGAGACACACTGAGGAAAAAATTGAGGTCAAAGGTTAAGGTCATGAGATTCAAAGGTCAAGGTCAAATTTTGCATCTTTTCACTGATGAACATTTTGTTATGACATGATGAAGCAAAGTTGATCAGAATTAAACAAGGAGTCAACTGACCAAAGGTCAAGGTCATCGGGTCAGGGGTCAAGGTCAAATTTTGTAGCTTTTCACTAATGAGCATTTTATGACATTATGAAGCAAAGTTGTTATGAATTAAACAAAGAGACAAACTGAGGAAAAAATTGAGGTCAAAGGTTAAGGTCATGAGATTCAAAGGTCAAGGTCAAATTTTGCATCTTTTCACTGATGAACATTTTGTTATGACATGATGAAGCAAAGTTGATCAGAATTAAACAAGGAGTTAAATGACCAAAGGTCAAGGTCATTGGGTCAAAGGTCAAGGTTAAATTTTGTATCTTTTCACTTGTGAACATTTTATTATGACATTATGAAGCAAAGTTGGTCCGAATTTAAAAAGGAGTCAACTGACTTAAGGTCAATGTCAAGATCAATTATTGTATCTTTTTATGTTATTATGTAGCAAACTTGTTCTGAACTTAACACAGAGTCAACTGACCTCAGGTTCAGGTTACGGGGTCCAAAGGGTAAAGGTCAAGTTTTGTATTTTTCACTGATGAACATTTTGTTATGATATGAAGCAAAGTTGGTCTGAATTAAAGAATAAGTCAACTGACCAACGATCAGGGTCACTGGTTTAATGGTCAAGGTCATTTGAGTCCAAAGGTCAAAGACAAAGTGGATCTCTGACTTTGACCCTGGCTCTTGATGGAGGAGGTATATAAGATGAAATAAAACAAATCAAAGCTAACAAATGAGTATTGCACCGTTATTTACATTCATGTTAGCCCAGCAAATATGGAGGTGGAAGGAAACAAGACTCACACTATAGTACATGTAGAATGTATATTTTGCTTCCTTGCGATTCTTTTTCAAGTCCAAATGTCAAACGTCAAGCTCAACTATATGGGCAGATTGCTTCTTGATGATTATGGGGATATATTGCCACAAGACGGGGCCCTTACTGACCTGTCAGTATTCTAGTTTAACTTAGGAAACACATGACTTCCTGTATTTGTTAATCATACAGGATATACTTGTAGTTTATAATTGATCATGTATACTTCGGTGTGTATGTACTTGTATATTTACATGAAGATACTTAACAAAGAAATACATGATTTGTCAGATACAAATGTACTTGCATATACATACACTTTTATTGACATGTTTCAAAAATACCCATATTTGCCTAGCCTACTTTTCTAAGCAAGTGACCTGACTAATTGTGTGGGTGGTTGGTTGGCGCAGTGGATAGCTAGGTTTGACTCCCTATCAGACGTGAAATGGTATTAGGTCACCTGCCCAACCACATGGGTTTTCTCCGGGTACCCTGGTTTCCTCCCACAACAAGACCCCCACGCTCTACAAGCGGGTCAAAAAGAGTTGTTAATATAGAAATAAAATAGTTTGGCATTGATTGAGTTAAATATATTCTAAGTATTTAATACCTAACCATTTGTTAAATTTAGTATCCATTTTGGTACTACATTGTAAATAAATAGCTGTAATGGAGGTCAAATTGTGATAAACTTCAAACTATCTCCTTCCCTAGATCAGGATTTTAACCAATCAAAATTAAATGGAAGGTAGCATAACTGGATACATTTATGGTTAATCAACACCGTTGCCATTAAATTGATGACCTGGAGTTGATAAAACTGTGGTAGCAATTTAGGTAAACAAATATATAACTCCAAATTTTCAAATCTACCTTTTCTGCTGTTAAGTTGCTAAACTCATTCACCCTGAAGACACATTTTTAGGTCACCTGAGACAAAGTCTCAAGTGACCTATTGCGATCGCCTTTTGTCCGTCGTCGTCCGTCGT